TACCTGTAAATATTTCGTTAAGTGATGGGCGCCAAAGTTCCTATGCGAAGCAAGATTCTATGCGTCCAGTGCGTAACTTAATTGAGTATTTATATAGATTACGTTTATTAGAGTGAGTGGATTTCAATGTAAACGTATTTAGCTATTTGCCAAAATATTGAGAAAACATTTGGTTCTACAATCCTCGCTCTCTTGGGGGCTACGAATTTTTAAGAACTTAAATAGGGAATACTTAGAGATTGAAATGTGTGCAGAGATAAAGCTTATTATCGAAAATTTTAAGCACATTTCAACTTACGTGCATGACTGCGTAATGTGGGCTATATCTATTATAATATATATACATCTAGGCCGCACACATGATGGTATGCAGCAAATTGTGCGGCAATTCATATTAGTTTTTCCTCGAAAATCAAAGCCTTGGAATATAGGGTGGACCGTAGCATATTTCTTATACTATGATTGTACCTATTTAGGCCATGAACCTCTATAACACGTAAGATGAGCATGCCTCTAACGAGTGTTTCAACTTGGATCGTTCGGTTCAGTTTAAGGGATCGTATAAACCTAAGTTAGTTCCTTGTGCACATGAGCTTATAGTGTGTATATCTTATTGTACAGCTAGTGTACTAAGATATTCACTAAATACATTTATTCGCATATGACTGTATACTTCATTGATAATCCAGGGTGAGCTCTTATTATGTGATAAACTTAATTCATATTGTTGTTTTATTCAGTCGTAGTTATGTCACACTTCAACTTGGGAGTGGCTAAGAGCATTCCATATCTACACGAACCGTAAAGAATTCTACGTACATATGTTACTGGGCGCTTAAACGTGAAGTGTGTCTAAGTCATACTTGGTCTGCAGCTTTTGCCCAGTCGCGCCATCGTATCATAAACAATGATCTTAAATAAAACTAACATGCCATTACATACGCATATCAACAAGAATTGGTTGAGTTTACGATCTAATTCTACCTCGATACCACAGTCAGCGTAAGTAGTTCATCGCCACCAACAACAACAACGAAGTTGTGATCAACATAACCATGCCATTTTTAACTATTCTAAATAACTATAGCTCAGCTATACCTCGATGGTATACGCCAGACCGTTGGGGTGGGTTTAAATAGGTGAGTTCACCGGTTTATTTCAAAACCTGGAGGTTTAATTGACCGTGGCTGTTTTTATCCATAATCATCCACCCGTCGCCTGACCCGCACTTCGTTCAGCAAAATCTCTTATCGTTATAATTTTCCGGCTCGATAGTAGATCAACGCTGCATCGGTTATTTCTTTGCTAATTATATCATATATTGATATTGGCCCAGTACGAAATTATAGTTACTTCTTTGCAGGCTTCATAAAAATGTAAATCCGTTTGAGCCTTCATATAAGCGTAAAATAGGCTTATTCTTAGCTACTTGAAAATAGGTAACTCTATTCGTTACAAATGTGTGGCTATATAACATGTATTAATAAACGCTCCAACTAATGAACACAAAATCTAGTAGCATGTGACGGTAAAATTGTGCTCGCGAGCTATGTGCTGAGTAAACCGTTAAGTAAACGCTATCGATTATAAATATATGGTAAGTCTCCTAATTTCTATGTTTAAGCTGAACATTGTTCTTAGAGATGTCATTACTGTACCTAAATCGCGAGTACTCCGCATAAACGCATAAATAAATAGAAAGAGGGGATAGAATTGGCCCAAGTAGCAACCTTACAACGAACACCAGTCTAACTACCTAAAATGTTACGCTTTTTCAAAGATAAGATGTCAAAGGTAAAGAGAAATATTTCCCAGAAAATCAATTAGCCATCATTTCTTCGTACTTTTACAGGAAATAGGTTGAATGTTTGAAAAGGATTTAACAATTGGAGGCCTCTTGTGCTGTATTATAGAGATTATTCATACATGAGTGTCCGAACGCATTTCGTGTAGACTTCTAAGGATGATTTCTTTGCACTTAGCTCAGGGCTTTGCAGCCAGATCCCAGCTGGTCGTGCTAATCCGGGCACTGTGTGTATGTAAAAAGTACGCCGATGTTACAGAGTCCAACGTCTGCAGTATTTGAGCACTTTATACTAAGATATCTAACTAATGATGTACTCATGCGGTAAATGTTTATACTTCGGTTTATGCCAAAACAATGACTAGATGTCTAATATCAAGGCATTTTAAAGATACAAAGATTTAAAAGATAAAAGTACTTACTCAGTTCATGGTACACATGCCAGCTCAATTTGACAAGCAGTATGGACTTAGCGATACACCTTTTACGTATAGAAAATAGTGACCTATGTGGTACATTTAGAAATACGTCTATGTGAAATCTGTCGTTACTCAGAATAACCAATTGAGCTCCGCCTCAACACTTACCATACAGTGCCAAAGGCTTTACGATTAAAAGCATATATCCTAGCACAAAATATCTGACCCTCTTCTTAATGACAGAATTTTATTGTTAGTTCGAGCTGATCCGTTTGAGGGCGCACGGAAGGGTGCAGGCACTGCTCGCTTGGGTTTAATGTATTAAAGACATAGTGATTTTCGTAGGTACTATGAAAAAGACATTGCAAAATACGTAAGCGATGTTTGTGAGCTTTCTTTCGTACTTTAGCATATTGTGATTAAGCCATTATGGCTGTTTTAGTCTCTGGCAACGTCACTGATCGATTTGACACAATGAATGGAAATATTTTAATTGTTTCTTGAATGTTTTGCTTCCATGCTGAATAATTTTGCGCTTCCAACGATGGCTGCCCAGAAACACCTAAGACACGTTCACGAACCGCTAGATACAAACATCACTGAGGCCAACTTTGCCCCATTTTGATTTCTGCTTTGAAATCAACAACTGCAGTCGTTTCATGTGGTAGTAGAACTGACAGCTCAGAGTTAAAAAAAATATAGCCATTTTAGTAGTCAATACGTTTTATAAATGAGTAAATCAGTTGCTCAGCCTACCTGGAGGTAAAACGCAGAATGCATACCGTTCATTAGTTTAAATTAATTTCTTAATGTAAAGGCTAGCTTTTGTTTGTTCACGATAAAAACTTCTAGCAAATAAGGGTTTAATTGGGCAATATAACTTGTCCTACTTCGGTTCGTGCTGTAGCACTCACAGCAGTTGTTTGGAAACATTTTTTATACCATTAATCGTAGTTAAAGGCAATTTTCTATGGAAAACGTACACGGATCAAAAAATCGATGAGATTTGCAAAACGAAAGGAGAAAAATTCTACAAGCTTAGTTCTATCGACTGTAAGTAATGCTTTATACATGGCGAAATTATTCTTCGACGTGAAAATAATAAAAATTAATTTCTGAAAGCAGTTAAAGATAATACAGTAACTTTTTAGAGATACGGAAATCGTTCGAAAGCATAGCATGTGTCGTCGTCGCCATTAGCATCATGGATTTTTTTCATTGTTAAAGGAGTGATCCCCTACAACAGAACCATCACTTTTAAGGGGCAGCTTTGCCCAAAGCGATTGCCTACTTTACGTCATCTTTTCCGACCTTGAAACATAATAATTCCGTGGAGATAAGACGGGTTTATGTTTAAACAGTAAATCACGTTGCAGCATACTTTTTAACGGGAATTTAGGTCAATGCAAGAATGTAAATAGTATAAGATCTGACACTGAAGCTGAGAATGGCTGATAAAGATACATTGCTAGCATGATTTACAGTAGTCTGTTATTATGTTGGTGCTAATGTTAACTCAACAAATTCAAATCAAAACAAATTTTTTAATATATCCCAAACCATAGCGGCCAGTTACATAAAGCTCGACCATATGAGCTCACGACTTTGCTCAGGATACCCATACAATGACCAGTGGCGAGTTCAGAGTAGACAAAGGCTCATGTGAAATCGGCCATTCTATTATGGCATACGTGACTTGAAGCATGAGTCTTTTTCGCGTCATTGTATTCAAATGTCTAAATAGCGGAAAAAGCCGTAAACAACTGTTTCTGCGGCCTACCCCCCACTCTGCTTGAACAGTATATTTTACAGCAAAGCCATATGACGGCCTCTACCAGTGGTTACATCATGCCTAAGGAAAAAATCAGGCACATGATGGTGGTAGCAGCATCAAGTTGAATATTATCAGTTTTAAATTACGTATTTCGTACACTCGACAACAATCACACAGCTTAAGTACAGCTGCCTCTTTTTTGAAAGTGCTCTTTGCCTATACAACACTTACTAGAATACGGAACTGCAAAGGGACGCTATCAGACCTTAAAACTATAAATTAAATTGCTTTCAAATAACACACTGAGAAAAACAGACTTCTGGATAACATACGACCAACTCGTGATGACAAGAAAGCTTGTCATGCTTGCATTGGTGGAGTTGACTATTGCTATGTCATATCTGTTCGCCGAGTATATACGTTGTAGTTACTGTTATTCCTGTTATGTCCCAGTGGGTTTGCAATGAACATAAAGATAATGATTACCTTCCGTATTCAACTTAGTGTATGAGTCTTCAAATGACGCGTTCCAATGTAGGCGTTCAAAGGACACAGACCCTTGAGATTCGATCTGTGTTTTTTGGAAATGTTATATTGTTGCAACAACAGCAACATCAACATAAATAACACTATGACGCATTACATTTTATGATCGCAGTTAGTCGGTTCATTCGACATTATGTGGGAGAAACGTTTCGCGGCCGGCCTTTCAGGACGTCGCAAACCGAGACCTAAAATCTGTTCATGAGCCTGTTTTTCAGGAGACTGTCAAGATGGTAGGTCCCAATATGCCATACCGTTACTCATAACATTTATACGCCAAAACTTCAAAGACGTTTTTATAGCATACAAGAACGTTAGGGTAGGCCATAACGATTTTCAGATTCATATTGCTTTCTCAATTCGGATGACAGCACCATGTGTCGTGGTTGCCGCCGATACATGCGCCAAGTATGTGCCACGTATAAATGTGCCCAGATAGTTTAGCAGTGTTATTTCTCATTCAACATTAGAGCTTGGCGCAGCTAATTCAAGTCGACGTAAAAGCGCGCTGACTAGCTCCGCGCTTATAGCGGTCGTATCTCAGTTAAGGAACACACGATTTACAAAGTTATTGGCAAAGTAAGCCACGCATGCACGGTAGTAATGTTTTCGTGTTCAAGGGAGATTTCCTTCTTGCGATAGAACTAAGTGGTTGCCAGTAACTTAATAAGGGTAAGCAGAGATCGCAGAAGATTACGGCCGTGTCGGCTACAAACTTATTGATTCGCTTTCTGACGGCTCTCTATCTATGTATATTTACATCATTTGCGAATTCTTTATCAGAACAGACGTCTGAGCTTCGACTTTATGCTTAGAGGCGGTGCCAGCAATACGAAGTCGGACTACTCGAGCTAAGAACACGAAACAGTTGGCGAGCATCGAGAAATAACGTTTATCTGTTTCGTTGCGGTCACTGATAGTGATTATCTAATTATTTATTTATTAAGACGGTAACAGAGAGAGTATTAACGTCGACGGCGTCGAGTTTATGGCAGCAGGCGATCAAAACTATTGCCACCACAAACAGCTATAGTTGAATGGACGATAGCGCGTACCAGTCGATACATGCCGCAATCCGACCGATCTGAGCCAATGCGAGTATCGAACAGTGGCCGTTGCATCAACAAATTGAGTGTAGGTGTCCACGTATGCGTGCGGGGGTAAAGTTTCAACCTGGAATCATTGTATTGTTTTCACGTGTTGTCAGACCCTCTCTATGTGTACACAACAAACGTACCGGCTGGCAGACACGGTGGCGGAAGGCAGTAGCAACGACACAGGAGCAAATCATTTCCACCGTTCGCATTAGTGATCCCAAGGCAGTTAGCGGTGTAAGGCAACGGCGTCGGCGCTTCAGAGCATCGCGCAACCGTTGATAGATCCCGACATAACAGTGCACGTGTTTTGAACCGAGGCTTATCTTGGTGCATCTAGTTCGAGTTTGTCATGATTAGAAAGCGGAATGTTGTTATACGCTATTTAATTGTACTGTGCGATCTCTTTATTGAGCATTCATCTTACGGTGCAAGAGCAAACCTCAAAGAGAGCAGTAGGACTACAAACTCTGTTGACATGTGTCTATGTAGTGCGGTAAATCGTATGGCCTGCACGTTACTGGATTAGGGGATTAAGGCAGAGGAAGATTTTTCAAACGACGGTCGCACAACCTTTGCGGAAAGTGTAATGCTTCATAAACGACAATGAAAATGTGCGTAAACATTTAAAACTTGCCGTTGTATATACAGCATTTGGGATACGTCGCCACCAATTCGATAAGCCAAGCAACTATTACGTAATCAAAACATATGTCAATAACAATACCGGCACTGGATAATCAATCCGCTCAAGTTTCAAGTCTAAGCAACTTTTCCAACTGCTACTATTTTTGGCCGAAGTGTACAAAACGAAGAACATTAGCTTTGTTCTAGCTGTGCTCCGAATTATTGAGCGTGATTGGTACATTTACCCGGAACGTTTTCTAACTTGAGTGACTTAACGTGCTAGTTAATCTAGTTGGTGTTGCGAAGTCCTTCTGTCGAAGTCTATCAACTTCATCATGGGTAATATCGCTTCGGAGATTCAGGAAACGATTTACGACGAGCCTGTTGTTGAGCTAATCTTCCCCCAAATGCTAGCCAAGTCAACCATTCTTACCGAAAATCAGATCAGCTGTCTATACCGCAGTATGCCGCCCCGACTGCAGAGCCAACCATGGCGGCTAACATTCTCTACAGAACACCAGGGCTATAGTCTGATGACAATGTACCGTCAAATGGAAAACGTTGAGGGCCCTGTTCTTGTCGTGGTGAAAGAATTCCAGGGAACAATCTTTGGCGTTCTAACTTCAGATCCACTCCTTATACAGTCCCGCTGGTATGGCCGTTGCGAAAGTTTCCTGTACACGTTCAAGCCCGACTTTCACGTTTACGGGCCATCATTTCTCAACGAAAACTGCATCTTCGCGTCACCAACGTGCCTCATGTTTGGCGGGGGCAAAGATGGCCTAAGTGGTTTATATTTGGGAGAAGATTTCTGTGACGGATCGTCGTTTATGTGCGACACGTACCAAAATAAGCAACTATCTAAAGATGAAAACTTCCTTATTCGGGCTGTGGAAATATGGACATTCTTCGATAAGTTTTAGACTAGTTGTAATAACAATGTTATAGCAATCGGCCAAACCAATGAGTCCTTTTTTTTGTATACAGACGCACAGTGTGTGTTGCTCCCTGCGTGGGGCCCATGTGTATAAAGACACACAACATATTATGGTATTCGTATAACAGTAATAACGATATTATGATTTTGCCAAACAGGCGATTCATGAAGTAAACATCGAGAACTAACACTTACATCAATGCAAGTAAATTGCAATAGAAACGATATCACACGGATCAATACCTGACATGATCCCAGCTGATGTAGCTACCTATACTAAAGAGACAGCCGTTTTTATCATCACTTGTTGTCTCGGGGCTCGACCCTTATACATTGTAATATTGGGTAACGGCTCAATTCCTCTTTTATCAGCGCGTAATCGAACAATGAAACGCGGAACGCGGCTTAACCCTGTTTGTGTTATGACGATTCAACTGCAAACTTATCCGGTTCAAATATACGAATCTGATGACAATAAAATAAAAAAATGTAATTGACTAATTAAAAACCGTTTTTCTATATATTATGGCACATCTTCGGCTGATTTACTCCCCACTGAATTTACACATTGTTAGCTAGTGTAAGTCCGAGAGTAGCACGCTAAAAAAAAAGTGTATCTAACGCACCAATTTTTTCGGTTTCCTCTAGAACCAAAAACCAGTGCAGAAGACGACATAAATTACGTTTTTCTATGCTAATGTGTGTTTACATAAATAGCCATTAGCACAATAGACATAACACACATTAGACTGTGATTAAAGATGGCCAATATTCTGGATCGAGGACTGTGGCTTAAGTGACCAGAGGATCGTGCCGCATGACACAATGAAAATCTATGATGTAAATAAAGTGTACAGTAATAAAAGTCAAGACATAGTGTACATAATACTAGAGTAAAGGGTGTATAATGTCACGGTAAATTCAGACAAAGCTAAGAGACAGACCGGTGGTCGACCAAAGGCTATTCGAAGCAAATGTAGAATTATAAATTAAAGATACAACCTAAATGGCTCGTATGGTTGACCCGTGTTTACTTCACTGCCTAGCTATAAAATGCCTCGTTAATTAATCAGATATTGAAATGATCAACTATTGCAATACTTATTAACATTTGTTCGTGTTTGCTTTGAGTTGTGTTTTTCAATGCACTAATTGCTTTTATATGCATGTAAGTGACGCGTACATAAATGGTAATTACATCCTACGAAGATCTAGGTAAAACAGCTCGATTGGCAGATGTGTTTTGGATAGTCTATTTTTCGCCAATTTGCCATATTATCACTATTATATCTGAAGCAAATCAAACAAGAAAACTGCCTCTTACCATCATCGTTTAGAGATAGTTGTGGAGTGTTTCTGACGAAGCCGGTAATCGCTGAAAGCTAGCTAATTGTATAGAGGCGATTAAGTTACGGCTAGAAAAGTAGCGATAGAGACTCGAACTATGCCAATTTACTATGTAATACCGATACTTGAAATAAATTAAAATGAACATCTTGCAAAAATAGGAGGATGCACAGCTTATCGTAGGTCGTAATAATAGATTATAAATAAAAAAAAAAAAAAAAAAAAGATATAAATAAAGCTTCACAAGTCATTGGTAAGGCTTATTCATACAAATGAACCTAATATCTACTGAAGAGATCTCTAATGTAACTACACGCCTTAGACCCACCACTCTGATATAGCCTCACAGGGTTCAATAAGCATCATTAGTGTGTTGTAAAGAAAAAAAAATCATAGAAAATGAGTGATTATACTTCATTTTTCAATATACCTATATCCATCTTCTGTTCGTCAGTATCACCCTCGCATTAAAAAGCCCCCCAGATGCTTCGCTTTACAAACCCTACTAATAGACTTTGTGGGACATCGGATAGATCTGCATACGAATATTTCAAAACAAAAAAAACCTTATGCGTCAAAGTGTAGCATTCAAGGACTACCCTTGGAGAAGATCACAGAGAGTTTGAGTCAAAGTGAGAGTTTGATTAAGTACTAGTTACATAGTAGTTACACTCAAACAATTTCTAAGTCAGGAATGGTGCGTGTGTTGCGGTAACACGAACTGGACGATATATTCATTTTTTGACAAGGTGTTAACAGACATCTTTACCGATGCTAGCGCTAAGAATATCCGTCAGTATACGAATATTTGAAACACTATAAGAAGCAAGAGTTACAAAACAGGTCCGTAGTTTAGCTCTGTTTAGGTTTGCTGGCAGAACCAAGATAAGCTCGTTCCAAGATAAACACTACCATTAAAAGTAAGCGTACTTCTTGTCGAGTAACTTCACCTCTGGATGTCATCAAGCTAAGCCTTTTTAGTTAGTTGATGGCCACGATTTTAATTAGCTTAAGAAAGACTGAATATACGGGCTAACTCGAAATAACCTACATCGACAAATTTATGCAACGACGTTCAGCGGGTTTTAGCAAAGGAAAAGATAACCGGAACAGCTACCAATTCAAATATAATCAAGATTCTAATAAATATGGAATTAAAAAATAGTTACACAAAAACGAATCGGCTAATCTCTTAACAAGTGATATTCAGGGTGACACCTAGACAACGTTACTATGACCCATTTTACAAGCGCACACTTTTTATAGCCACTTTGAGATGAAAACTTTCTTCACAACATTTTGAACGGCTCGCAACTGGGCTGTTCTATCACCGGCCGATCTGTGCCCTTTTTGAATCAAACTCTACTACTAACACTCTACGAATGTCGACGGTCAACTAGGGCATCGAATTAAGCCCTGTTTAATGTTAAACGATTTCACAATGGACTGAAAATTTTGTAAATATGACCCTGATTGGATGCATATGGTGGTGATTATGATGTTGATGACGGCGACGAGGCTTAAAATCGTCGTCATTATTCCTTACAATTTGCCGTTTACGTGTCAGCATTATATCGGCATAGCCACGTGCATATCTCGCAGTCGCCAAATGCAAAATCTGAAAGATCAGAGTAGCTCTCAGTAGCCTTCAGAGTAGTAGTCTCTGCTAACCCTATCAAAACAAGGTTTTAACAATAACCGATTGTTATCAGCAGTGTATATACCAAGATAAAATTTGTAAAAATAAATACATTTCGAGCATGTGCGGTAGAAGAAAAATGCACACATTTTATATAGCTTTTTTGCAATTTAAGTACTATATAAGTTAGCCTTGTCCACCATTTCTATCAGATGCTTCTTTAACGGGAACACACTTTAGAAGTTAAGCTGACTTAACTCAAAGCTGATTGTCAGAAAAAAATCAAGACCAGATGGCACATACCAGATCATTTGTTTTACCCATTACTATTTTCGAAAATATCCGCTCACCTACAATCATTGGCCTATAGATTTATTTACCAAAACTTGCTCATGATAATGCGGCAGGCGATGTCCTTAGCCTGGTACTACGTACGATGTTCTCTCATGCGCTTATGTTGAGATAATCTCATTGTTCACTCGTAAATTCTCTTGCATTGATGGCAATTGTTGAGAGAAGCGACCAGTTCCGTCGCCCGCTCCGTGTCAACGACGCCGACCGTGCCCTCGAACCTTTCGTCCATACTTATCTACTAGGCTTACTGTGCTCTACCTATACCTTATAAGTGTATCTCCAGCTTGGAAAATAGTCGTTTTAAACTTATCTTTGATTTAAGGTCGGCCACATATCATGTCCGCTTTACTGCCACTTATCGTGGCCACGCTATGCGTGATAAAAGGAGCAAGAGGTGGAAACGCCCTCCGACCCGTTGACTACATCAGCTGGGGTTCCATCGAAGCTTTCTAGAGTGCTCTGCTTACCGAGCGACATTTTTCACTGCCATAACCGTTCAGTAATTTCGGGAATTTAAATGCAAAATATTATTGTCCGCTTTGCTTACTAAGCGTCCAGCTGATAATTGTTCGAAGACTGTCTCTATCTGAACATCTTTCGGCGACAAACTACCGATTCCGATTCATGGCGGTGCACTTGTGTTAGATAGAACATAAAAGTTGACAAGTACCGATGGCCGTAGATGGTGAGGCAATTCCTAGCAACATCGGCTCGTATGCTTGAGAGCTTGTTATCGAATGGGTATATGGCAACATCAAGTATTTTAGTGGGGGCAATCAGCAGATGACGCTGATAGGCGTAAGCGCTGGAAGAATGCCAATTAGTTCCCATATTGTCCTGCCAGAAACTCGCAGTAGAGATGTTTTCCAATCTGCTGCTATAGACGCCGGCCTCATTTCTGCGTTGGCAGAGAAGACTTTAGCTCGCGTACAGACTGTAACCAAAATGCTTAGTTTATGCAAGGTCAGGTTAGCATATGCTCAGAGGTCTTCGAAATACGAATGCGGATGAACTCATAAAGTTTCATTCGATCTAAATGGCTATTTGCCTGTTCTTACGCTTCCTTCTTTGGAGACAGCAAGTATTTGCCGAGGGATATAATATACGACACTTAGAAAAATATCGTTGCTATCGACTATATATATATGAATTGTACTTCAGTGATAGGGCTTTCAAGGAAGCACTTAAAAACACACATCTTATTGCATAGATTGGCCGCTGCACGTTTCATCGGAGATGGGAGACCTTACAGTCGGCAAAGAGTGCAATGGGTAAAGTGGTTCCGTGTTGAAACAACAAACATATTGTGGTCTAGGTACGAATCCGAACAAGGACACACTTCGTTTCATGCTGGGAGCCGGCTGTCTAAAGTAAGTTCGAATACTTAGTTTACAACACGCGAAACACTTCTGCAGTTTTTTCACATTAAGCCCTGGATTTCGCAAGCTGAAAGCGTTCACACATCCATTTATCCGACAGCTTGTTGGCGTTCAGCTCGTATATATATATATATATATGCTGACTAAAAACAACATTTCTCGGACTCAATTGTATTGACTAAAAACTTGGGAAAGGGTGAACTTCCAATGCTATGTGGCGTTTCGATTCTACATGTTCGTTAAGACTTAAATTTCGCATAACGCTACTCGCCTACGTACTATCCAAGCGCGAACTCGATCGACACGTACTCAGTTTTACGTTACGTATTATTATTTCATTTCCCACATGTATAATACGAGGAGTAGGAATAATACAGTTGACTAAAGGTAGACCGCCATCGATTTCTCGATGCAAATATCACACGATACAGAAGTTAAATAAATAAAAAAATAAAAGAAATACGTGCAAATAAACGAAATATTTAATAAATTAGGGTATTGTTCCTAGTATTTTACATCTGGATCATGGAATAATGATACCAGTTGTTTGAAAATTAACCTAGGTTCTGAATGGCGAAAAATAGCCGCTTCGAGCTCGTCTTATGTGTTTAAATGTGCTCTCGTCTATATACCATTATGGCTTTTGAGGTTCAAAACTAACAGACTGTAATTGTCCAAATAACACCTCTTTGTAACAAAGCATAACGTATGCTATCATTCTAAGCCCTTTGGTTGACAATATAGACCTAATGACATTTACTAGTGATTTTCGCGGCTCGTAAACCAGAAATATTTATTTGAGAAATCCTTCATCATCTTTAAAGCACCAGCACATGAGGTAGTACCAAACAAGGCGAGACGAGAAATCTACTCTTACCTATAGGGCGTCATTGTAATAATGAGACACGGATACATAAATACCCCGGCACACATATAAATCAAAACTAAACCCAATAATAACGCAAACGTACTATTTATAGTAATGTAATGAGTCTTTATTTGCTAATAAATCATCGTTGCTTGCAATTAATTCAATGTACACTATGAGATAGGCTAACTGAGATAATATCAACGTTCAGATATAAACATGCTTAATAATTATCACCCATTAGTTTTTACCTTTCCGCTCTACATTCTCCGCTTCGTTTTTTTACCCAGTTTCATTGTAGTTTAGCTATCACGTGAGGAGCGCGGTCACCAACGAAAGTCAGCCTATAGTGAGCACTGCAAATTACCTCTCTTTCACACAGATAAGGCATTGTAACGCTTATGTACCCTCTTTACCATACATATTGCATTTTTCGTTGCTCATTTAGACACACTTTCGTTTAGCTGGCTCAGCTGGCTTACCACTCCCCTCAACCCCTTTTGCTTTAAGTTTTTTTCGCAATATACAATCCTAACTAATCGTTCCGTCGTGTCCCTGCGAGCGTTTGCAGCTTCCGCAATCTCCCCTCGGCCGCCCTGTATATATGCACGCATATGCATACAAAGCAGCGCATCCTTGAAGTATTTCATTTATTATACTGCACTCCTCGTTTAGATACATACATATGTCCGTGCACGTATCCATCGCATTGCGACTGTGTGTGTGTGTGTCTGTGTATGTATGCATGTGTAAAGCGCTGTGAGCATTATTGTTATTGATTGTTGCGCATTGTTACCCTCTTAGGATACGAGTGGTACATATATATATATATATATATATATACCGCTCGTATATATATATAGAAAACAATGCTGAATATAGATTAAACTATTGTAACACTACAAAGTTTTTTGTTTTCTTTTGCTACATGTACGGCGCAGCCCTTTGTATATCATTGCATTGAAGTGAATTGTGTGTTTGAAGCCGCAATAATAGTAACAGGAATATCTGTTATAATAATATTAAAGCATCTGTTTTCACGCTCTCGTTGTCTCCTTGCAGTTTCCCTGTACAGTTATATCTTGAACCACTACAAATTGACGGCTATAGTCCATTATATAGCCGGGCGGTTTGGCCAAAGTATACACTTTGGACATGTGCATGTTTGGTTGGTGCTTTAGAGAAAGTAGACCTCCTAAATGAGTAATAATGATGATACTAATAATGTTTGTGTCAAGCTTTCATCCCCACGCCGTTATGGGCTGTTAACAATACTAAACAAGAGTTTTATCCTTACATTTGAGTTGTACAAAAACATACAGGCGCCAAATACAAAGACAAACCCATTTTTGTTTAATTAGTTGCTGGATCAATATGTTTACCTTTTTCATTGAATCAGAACTAAAAGTTTAACGCAAATGTTAATAAGTGGCCCCTATTTAGATCTCCTCAAATCCGAGAAGATCAATTTCTTGAAGGATGTCCTCATAATCAGATTCGAAGTTGAGCCAATCAGTACCACTTTTTGTCACTTTATTCAGTTTCATCATTTTCGAGTTTTGTCTTTGACCGGCAGAATCACCTTTATCCTCTTGTGCTTGTACTCTGCTTCGAAAGTAGCTCTTATTGTTGTTTAAATTTGTTCCTACTGAAGGCAAGCTTGTATCTTCTCGACCCACTCCTGAGCTTTCTTGTCGCTTTCCGCCATGAGGCCATAGTTTCGACTGCGGGTGCGAAGCTCGAACGTGTCGCCGTGCTGAACAACCGATAGAATTTCGCTCAGCTCCACAACGCCCTTGATTGCGGCATCCTCCTGTCCATCGTAATATCTGCAGACGATGCATATAGAAAAAAACGACCAAGTTACTTGTGGCACCGTATCAATTTTGCAAAATACAATCACCACTTCAGACATTATTATAGCAAGTATGAATATGGTTTAAACGTTTTTTTTTTTTATCGAAGTCATTATCTACCGATTTTTTAGGTTACGAACCAAACTAAATGACAATGATTAACCCTTTTCATCTGATTACTATTGGACCTTGTAAAGATTTGCGTTGTGTGGTTGGTATTCCTATATATCTAGAAAAACGAAGGATTTTTTAGTAAAGTGGCTTAATGCCGACCTGAGTTGGTGTTTGGTGGAGTCCAAAACAAACCATCGCTGCTTCCATCCCTTGAGCAGCGCGCCACGTTTGCATAGGTAACCCTCGAAAGTTTTCGTCTCGATTATTCGCGATGTCAACTGATCGTACGCGGCGGTCGATTCCGTCAATGGAAGAATAGGCAACGCCGTAACGGCCGATGGTTGTGAGTGCCCCACCGAAACCTCTTTCTGTTTGAGCTTCAACAGCGCAACACAACCAGAAATTAGACGACGTACAAGAATAGGAGCCCTTGTTAAGTGTACTACTTTATCGTTAGACGGCGCTAGATAATACGGGATAATGCCAACTTCTGAAAATTATTATCTAGTCAGTATCGAACCTGTTATTGGTGCAAGTACATTTTTGCATTTATTATTATTATGTGCAAAGAGTAATAGTAATCCAAGTAAATAATTGATTAGCTACACACATGATTTTGATAATGACTTCGTAGTCGACAAATAAGCGGCCGATAAAAAGGTGACAGCTGAAAGCTCGATATGATACCGGGCGTGCATAAGTACCTTGGTGCAATTTGTGGGCGCGAGATCATGACAACGATCGTGGCAGTTGTATCCACAGTCGAGGCACTTCATGCCGGGCTTAACAAGGCCCAACAGTAACTTCGAGCAGTGATCGCAGTATGTCGGTGTGCTATAGTAATGCCGTTCGAAGCGGTGCGCATGGCTACTAGTACTATTGAAAAAAGACTCCTTATTGCTTAGCCCTGCAACGCCCGTAACAATCAAAAGAAGAGCAAGATGAAGAAGTATTCGTAAGATTTCATGAACGTTCCTAATAAGCAATAATCTCTAAACTACGGATACCGATTAATGATCATGTAATGGTTAGCCAGATTTTCAGGACGATGTGTTGAAGGCTTTTAACGGAGTGACAATCATTTATCGGTTTCGTAATGCTTTCTTGTAAGATTAACACAACTTGAGTGCCACTATGAAAGATCATTGTAAAGAGCAGCAAGAGATTTTTTCCCTCATTTCGTACACCGAGGCTAAATCGATCTATTTTTGGGAGTCTGGGGTGAAACTATTAGCGTTCGGCCTAAGGAAAGCAGCCATATTACGTGACATTGTGATACGCACCGTCTGTTTTTCTATAACCTCTAGTAAGTTTGTCTCTGGTACTGAAGCTTAATGTTACTTCGGTAATGGCCGCAAGCTACTTTGACAGGTTTCAATTGAAGCTCACCTTTGTAAATGAACCGTGCGGCAGGATGTAAAACAACTGTATTCAAACAGATTGTCAATTTTGTATCAATTAGTAAAAAATAAAATTTTAAATAAAAATAAAGTAAATATGAAAAAAATTAAAAGCAAGACGAAGCATGCCGGTGTGTAAGTGTAATGTCAGCTTGTGTATTGGTAGATTCATTTTTGTTTGACAGTCTTAATTATATAATTTTTTGGCGAGCTGCCAAGTAGTACATCTAGATATTATATCTATCTGTACGCTTACCTCGAACTAGTACATCGACTTTGCGTACGATCGACGCCCCGAGATCCATCGCAGATGGGCTGAGTAAACCGCGAATGGCGCCCCTTCCGCCCGGACCGGATGATACTACTTCGGGTCCTTGCGATCCCAGAAAAGGAAGATTTTGCGCTTCTAAACGATTCCAGACAACTTTCCATCTCTGTGGACTTCGTGACAGTTCCAGCTCTGCTCGTCGGAGTTCATCCAATAGCAGAGGAAAAGCCGCTTCGTCTTGGACGTTATGGTTGTATCTATAGAAAGGTGATACAGTCATAACAATCAGTTGTATTCTAGGAAGAAATCCCAAGTGTTCTAGTTCTACAGTTGTAACTTTTATCCGAACATATTAAATATTCCAGTTATAATTCCAGGCGAGTAAGCAATCCGTAACCGTTTAAGTTGGTGTAAATAATTCGATTTTATCAGCTGACTATTTCTAGCAAATATTAGTTGCCGTTGCCAGCAATACGAAGGACCTCACAGTCGATACCACTTGCCTTAGTGTGCTTCTTTTAACACGTTAGCGCATTTGCAATTTACAAATAAGTTGGCAAATGTATTTTGTAGAACGTTATCCATACTATGTTATACCCCCAACGTCATTTCTTTGCCATTATCCAAAACGTGTATTATCGTTTTATCCGTTGTTACCTAATAAACAGTGTCAATAAACTTATTAATATTAACGTATCTTTACCTAATAACTACTTTCTTGTACAAGATGTCACATGTTTGTAAAACGTGAATAATTAATTATTTGAGAACCACTAATTCAATAGGAGGTTTGCCACATCGTCACATATAATCGAGCCAGTTAATACGATATACAAGACTGTTTAGTTGTCTAAAGCTACCCCAAAACAGTAATGCTTTTCTAACAGACGACAGCCTCACCCGTTCATATTAATGCGTCTCTGATACTGTGAAGTCGATCCAGCAGGGTAATTCTGGCCTGCTTTGCCACCTCCTTGCCCACTTTGCTGATCTCCATCTGAACTGGCTTGCGAATTAGGCATATTTGCTGTGCCTTCGCGCTCTTCGGCAGCAGCCTGTTCGCTGTTGCTCTGAGAGCATTCGTTTTCTGCCAGAACGATTTCAAATTCATACGGCGACGCATGGGCAAGATGATCTTCGAGGTAATAGTCCCACACTTCAAGGTTCGCTAAATAGAATTGTGGCCGAAGTACCTCCTCATACTCTGCTACGTACCTAAGCAAAATTCAGCGCCAAGCCCCAAAATCAAATTATAGTAAAACAACTATATTAAAAACAAAAAGAGATAATAGGGTGTCTTTATCTATACCCTACTATAAATGCAGAGATAGAGATGCTTGACAAACTCTCATTATTAGGTACTGCTTCAAAACTCAATCACGTGCGCTTGTGTAACTCAATAATATACCAATAGTTGTGGAAGATAGGCGCATTGGAGTGCACCTTCTGGATATACTCAAAAACATCCGGCGCGTCAGAATCCACTTCAACCGACTGAGCTATCCCGCCATCGTAGATAAATGTTCTGGAAATCGTTTAAATATCGTTGTTTACATATGCCTCCATTACATGCTGTTTTTGCACTAACTAACCTTGCGAACAGACTACTGCAAATTTGTTTAAATCTATATTGCAGTAGTTTCACTTATAATCAACCTATAGTGAACAATTACTGTCCAAGGAACCCCTGTAAAAAGATGTATACGTGAATTTGCGCAAAATTTCTCCAAAACAATTTAACCTGAAGCGCGCCGAAACGCTGTGATAGGCGAGAAATCTCAGATAAAAATGGTTGAATTCGAACGACGTTGGATTCTGCAATATAAAGAAACAAACAATACTATTAAAGAACATTTGCTTTGATGACAGTGTAATGGCATATTGTTTACTCCATCTTGTAAAGTTGCTGCAGAGCTGTTGAGTGCTATTAAAGGTAAACGACTCATATATATATATATATATATATATATATATATATATATATATATATATATATATACGGAAAATCCTTTTTGTTTTTCTGCTATGATATGACCGAACATTAGACCTCTATTCACGCAGTTTTTTTTAATATTAAATGAAGGAGCCTTGTAATATTACGTAGAGAGTATATATAAGCATGTATATAAATATTCATACCAACCTGATTGAGCAACTGATGAACGCAATCAAGAAATTGCAAAAAGATAGGGGCATATCCAGACGTCGTCTGATTCAGGCCACCGCGTTGGGCAAACCGATGCCCAAATGCTAACCACTCCTTTTCGATTAGTGTCCAGAAGCCGTCTAGCGTTCTGAAAAGTGCAGAAACCGTAAAATCAATTAGGCGCCTGATGAACCTAGCTTTTATACCGCGTTTAGCGTTACTACAGTTCCATCAGTTGTACCCAAAAAATCCCTGAAGCAGCTAACCTACCGGTAGTGAGGGTCTAGGCAAAGTTGAATGAGAGAAGACAGCTGACATGTAACATCCCATCCCTCTTCGAGGCACAACATCGCCGATGCGCCTTCCTCATGTATAAGTTCTACCAACTGAGCGGAGTGGAACATTAGTTCTTGAATAAGCTGGAGCCACCCAGAGTCTTCCAATCGTGTCATTAACCGACCTCCTCGATGACCTTGCCCGTCCGATTCACTCTCTGCTTGAGCTGGACACACAGCACTACATAGCTGCTTGAATGCCGCTCGAACCTACGGGGCAAAAATAACCCAACAGTAATGAAGTGACTGAAGACTTTTAAGGTACTTTCGGAACGAAATCTTATATATATATTTTTTTGCTGTGCCTCGTGTCTTATATATATAAGAGAGGTACCATAGCAAAAAATCAATTTAAGCACCTACTTTTGCTACTTCGAAGGTATCGACAGCAATGTACTCGGCATTGTAGGGGGGTTTGACACCGCGGCACTGGCTTTTCTCGCTGACAATGTACAGCGATGCACGACTGAAAAAACTACTGGCACTGCTAGTCTCGGCATCGTTACCCCCGCCGGATCCCGACAACATACTCGCTAGTGAGTGTCGGTCAGAAATACTCTCGCGATGTGGCGGTTGGCGGTAGGTCAGTGCTAGGGATTTAGCCCCACCGGACCATCGGTGCGGTCCGCTACGCGTGAACGAACCACCGCTCGAGAAGCCGGACGCTGTCAGGGTACCACCTCCGGAAGCCGTCATCGACTGACTTGCGCCGGCAATAATCGTGCCGACGTACTTTTCTTGCTCGATCCACATAGACGTCTCGCCTTGGGCACCCTGCGCACCGATGCGGTGTGCTAATCCCTTGCCTATGCGCAAAGCCGATAATATTCAAATTAAAACCAAATAAGATCAACGAATGATCCGTGAAACATGTACTTGATATTGAATTGTATACGACCTACGATGAAAAATGAGGAAGGCAGGGAAGTGCAAGATAGAGGTCTCATTCTTACCATGCAATGCACTTCCGCGTAGCAGTAGTGCTTTGGTTCGTGGGTGCCTCCAGGTTACCACGGGGAAACGGCCATGTCTATAACATTTGGCCACCTAGAAAAACAGCAGGCGATATTACTAACAAAATTACATCGAATATAATTTAAAACTAGTTATTTGGAAGAGGAGCATTACCGTGCATTGCAGAAGAATACAGATATTTTGGCAAGAAACGATAGTCCACGATGCCGTTATTAGGTGCAGCTTAAATGTTTAGTTTGAGCTTCGAAATTATACGTTTTTTGATTGACCTATACACGTGCCATATGACTACCATTTTACCTTTTGTAACCGATCCGAATTTGCAGAAGATGGAACGACCACCAATGGCGGGTAGCTTTTGCAGAGTGTGTGAACATGCCCTATACTTAACAAGCCATTGTGACCTGTAAGCTGTAGACGCTGATAGTCCTTGTTTAGTGTTGCTGAAGCAGAGGGAGCAAAGGATAGTAACGCGATGTCTTCAAAGATAGCAAAAAAAGCCGTCTATGTCATAGGAAACATTTCCTAAAAATGTCGTCTTAGTAAAACGCAAAAAAGGTGGTATATATTTAACTTCTTTACCTTCCCAAGGGGCCATACTAAACGGACCCTCGTCAGGGAGAGTTGCGAGAATTGTCCGATCATTGGGTAACGTCTGCGTTAATGTTGCTGCATAATTTCGTCCCTGCAAGTAACCAAGCAATGAAATATGGCATGAACGATGCACACACTTTGATATCTGAGACTGTGGTCCTAACACGCCAATATTCGAAACGTTTATCTATGGTTTGCTACAGTTGTCCTAAATAATAAATAATCCATGAAATTGAATTTACCTTGGATAGTCCTGCCTTCACCGCTGTCTGAATAATTTTCTTCTTAAATCTCAGCGTATGATGCTTCTCTTTTAATTTCGAGACAACTGAAATTTGACCTGAACGCACAATACGAATATATATATATAAAGATCGTTTCTGAATGTTCTCCTTTCCAAATATTAGGATTCCAGGAAACAGAAGTACACTTTCGAGACTTGCTCTACTTCGCCTGATTTTGCTGAGATCAAAGAGCTGCCGGAGACCGCAGGATATTTGTGCCGTGTATATGGTACGAACCATGGCTGCGTTTAAGAACGCTGGTCGAAAATGGTTGGCAAATTTCAGTAAAGGCATCTTGGCACTACAGCTGTACGTCGGTCGGGTCAGCTATCTAAGGCTAAAGACTTTTTTGAATAAAGATGGTTGATGAAAAAACTTGGTAAATTAGGCGAGCAGACGAACTACACTATATCGACAAACATCTTCAATCTGTGGAGCCTACTCAGAGCTTAGAAGCATTGGTACCCCATGAATTGAGCTAAGAGTACAAAGGCCACGGGTTTCTATACAGAATCGTAACTGCTGACGAGAAGTTTATACCGATATAAATCAAAGAAAGGTATAGGTACGTCTGTAAAGCAAGTTTAAGCCCAGAACCAAATTTTCATTATAAAAAGGCCATAATGCGCATTTCATTAAATGTTTTACACTGAAAAATGTTAAAGAAATTAAGGCTGTCAATGAGGATCTGTTTCAATTCAGCGAGGTTATCTAATAAAAACGACTCGATAGAAAAGGCAAACCCATCCTTCCGTACGATAATGGCAAGTCACACATGACAAAGTATGCCAAAGCTGTTCTGTAGCAACTGAGATGAGATATTCGTTCGTGTCTGATGTGTTCTCTGAACTTCGCATCTGCGGAATACTATTTATGTATGGAGGAAAGGTGCAGCTACATAAAGCAAAAACTCAATGGCCTACTTCGACTTTCTTAAGAAAGGGAACGTTAATTCAAAATGATAATATTATCAAAATATTAAAATATTTAGATGAACATGGGTCAGGTAGTTAGTGTGCCTCAAATTACCGGATTTCTTCGTTAACCGTCGTCTCAAAGAGCGAAACTATTTCGCACCACTGTGTATTTTTTTAATCTTCCATGGGACTTCTGTTAAACGACAAAGGAACAAATATCTGTGACCTACGAACTACTGTATTTCAAGCCTATACTTCGAGTCGGATGGCATCAGTGCAGAAGAACTGAAAACCGTAAGCAGCCTCAGTTCAATTCAGCCTAGTAAGAATGCTATGTCATGTTAAATTAAGGTAAATTACTAAAGATGATGTTGATAACTTGATTGGTAAAACGCATCGGTCATCATACTGCAAATAATAATAATCGCAGATCAAAATTCATCAGAACCAGCCATGAACGCGGTAGTTCTACAAGTTTCTAATCCAATTAGGAGGAATATTTTTGCTCTCTTCTTGAAATAAATGCCACTCGTCGATGTGTCAATACCTGGGCAAAAGCCGACCCCAAACTGTGCAGTAGAATTTCATGTCAACCTATGCTAGACGAATCATAATCTTTGACTTATCAACTTGCCATAAAGATATCGGTTCACTAACTTCCTTGTACGAAATCATTAGTGACCCGCATGGTCTCTTTATATAAGTTCATCGTGTGGGGGCTATATGGACCAGCAAGATAGATGTAGTCAACCGATACTTCGCCGTAAATGAATAAATTAAGGTCAGTTCGACTGGCCACACAGACAAGAGTCTTGGACAAATATAGTGGTACCTCTTTTTTTTTCGTGGCAGCGGTATATATATATATACACATATAATCCAATGCATGTTAGTTTCACATGAGCTGGAAATGCTTTTAAATAAGTGTTTGAATTATACATAACAATGTGTGCTGAGACAAGCGTCAGTTGAATACGATTTTTTACCCTTGGAGAGAGCGAAGAGTGGCGCCGTATGCCAGTGCTGCCTTAGCATTTCAATCGTCTCGATGCTGACCTCTAAATCTACAGCGATCTTCATAAGCTCGAATGAATGCGAGCGTAACTGTAGACCGTCGCTATGGCATTGCTCCATTTTCAGCTCTGTTAATGGTCAAAATCACAGTGAAATATAATCAATTAGTGTGTCATCATTATACACACATTATTAGAAGCCTATGAATATGTTGCATGTTTTTTGCTACTAATTTGAGTTTACTTCCGTTCATGATGTCCAGCGGTATTGTTGACTGATGCGAAAGTCTCAGAAATATCGTGCAGAGTGCATGCTGACCCTTAATGAACAATGACTGCATACCTTTTGGCAAAGTAAATTTTTTGTCTTTGCTGAGGCTGGCAATGGGAAAAGCTCGAATAACGGTATGTTCACATAGATAGGGATCAATTGGGGTTCCCTTGAACACTATACGGTAATTGGTCGCGAAGAGCGCACCCTCGGCCGGTATAAGCGGCATCACAAGGTCCTCCTGACGACCGTCTGGTATTAAATAGGCCCTAAACGACATACAAAGGGAACAAAAATTGTACATGTATGTTTACGTACATGTAATATAGAAGAGCTATTATAAATAAATAAAACTCGGCAGTCGTAATTTAAACAAATCGTCAGGAAAATATATCTTTGCGTACACCTAAACATTTTTAGATAAGCTTTTTTCATTCAAATATGGATTAGTCATCGATAAGGGTAACGCGATACGATCCTGAAATTCTACATCTAATCGTCTAAGAAACATTATATACCTTGATTAGTTACATTGAGCGGCCCATATAATTCATTCGCCATAGTATGCGTCTACGGTTTTTTTACTATAAGGTATATGTTAATGCTTGAAATCAGTAAGACATGGCAGTGCAATATTACCCTTAGAAGACAATAGTGAAGAGTTTATAGTCGCTAAAGAGGATAGATATTCAGATTATTAGGTACGACATAAGACGATCTTAGGCTTGGAAGTATTGTTCACATTCCAATTTTAATTTAATAAAGCCCTAGCTTATAGATATAGCGTGTGTATGTAATACTTGTAGTAAAAAGCCCCTGGCCTCGTTCATCGTTTGAAGCCAGGTATAGTAATTTTAAATATCGTTGATGCTTATCGCCTTTCATGAATGCAGTTATCTGTAGTAAATTCAATTCGGTAACTCCATGCTAGATCCCATGACGGTTTAAGAATTAATTAATATCCATAGAGATTTATTTTATTAGAGCGGCATGCAGCCAGCCATTAGGTAATGGATCTACCAATCTACCTTTTTTTCATGCTTGCACAAAAAGTAAATCACATATTGTACGCTTGATTACCTAACATGAGGCGATATTAATAATGCTAATTAATAATAATAATAATGGCTAATTATTACCCCTCACCCCGCGTAGTATACGCGGATGGAACCCCTCTAATTGCTTTTAGCATTATAGAGCAGCCACTTCGCTAGGTGAAATGTACTGAATTCAACAATTTAGTTGTCGAAGAAACATCGTTTCAACTTGAAGACGATAAAGGGTGGTTTGTTTTAGAGGACCAGGGTCCTGATAACTGCCTCATAGAAATACACTACGGATATTTTTGAAGTATTCATTTATATAAATTCAATAGCCCTTCTAAATGATTATCGAATACAACAAACGGGTAATCATTGCGTCATTCTTCAAATACGCGTTGGCGGCAGGTCTGCATGCACATAATTGAAATGAAAACAGAATTGAATACATGATTAACCGATTTATTAAATAGAAACTTAATACGCTACTACAAAACCAACGGAAAAAATGCAGATAAACGAGATCGAGGTCTTGCCGTTAGCCAGCAGCCACATTATGCATTGATGACACACATTAACCGTTGTCGTGAAGCGTGAAAAATGCGGAAATAATTTGAAAGAAAACTTTACTTTTGGTATAATTATTTGTGCTTGGTTGACACCTCATGCCTTTTAAGCTGAAAAGTATAATATGCAAAAGTAAAGGGTTCTAGCTAGCGTGGCAAATATTTCGAGGCTTATAAATCTATACCAATACGAGTCAATTTCTTGAACTCAAAGTCGGCGTACAAGGTCGGTTGCGACTGGAATAAGTCTACACTGTGTTGTTTTTGCTCCTAATAAGATATTATCCAATTGGCTTTACCAGCTACAACAACAACAACCTGTAAGTCTTATTAAGCTTTTAATTATATTCGAATTGTTTCTACTATAATTCTTTAACAGATTACCATTACGTGTCAGTTTATGGCGAGCTTATAAATTAGTCCATACTGACTTGTCGGCAAGCTGGAGAGAATAAATCGCATTTATGTTAATGAATGCAACGAGACACAATGAACCGAATACGTTCCGTTTGTTCAACGGAAAAGAAATACTTAAACAAAGAAACTTAGTGGTACAATTACTATTTTCAGTAGACGTAAAGCAGGCCGCGGCTGACAATTGACATTTAAATCTATGTTCATTTGTATTATTCCACTTTTATCTACACAAATAAAAATCGCTTCCATGTGGAATAAGTATTAATAATGGACGTAGGGCACGAAAGAAGTGATGAAACGTAACAATGAGCATATTACTATAAGAGTTATAAGAGATGCTTTTTAATGGGTCGCCCTGGAAATGGATGAAATTTTTCGACACAAAAAAAATAGAACTAATCAAATCATAATCAATACTGCTTTAGTAACTTTTATTTTTATTATCCAAGAAGCCGATAATGGCCACTGGTAAGTAAACAGAGTGCGCTCCGCAAAAATCAGCCAAGCTGTTGAAGGTATCGTTTCGAAGACCATTGTCATGGATATCAGCTGCTCACCTTATTCCTACAAAGACAGTTTCACCGGGCAGAAGGCATGGTTGAAGAATTTTGGCCTTAAGGACTGGAGGAAGACGTTGACTTTCTCTGTTAACCTGCCGCATTTCGTCTAACTGCATATCAACGTGTTGTGGGATCATGGAATGCAGCTGTCGCATATGTTCCGGCGTCACTCCGGCGTCAGTGCACACCTGTACAACCATATCGACCCAAAGCCGTTTACCAGTTTGGAGTTTTACACAAAGCTCAACTCACTACCTTCTTTATTTTCTTCACACATTCGTACATTTGACAATTACATGAACGAAATAAGCCGACTTGATATGAGCAAACAAAAATGCCACTTCGGTGTTCTTACGTACGAGTGTGGGAAATGAATACATTGTAAAATAAATCGAACCTTATCGATGAATCGGGAGATGAATTTTATAACACTCTGTTTAAGTGCAAGGCAAGAATCATCTTCTGGAGCGGCAAACGACCCTTCACCATCGACCGAATCGGCATCGCACATCGAGTTACTCTCGCTGCCACCTGCATTCGTTTTGTCACCCCCGCCAACGCCGTGGCCACCTCTCGACGAACGGAGGTCTGGCGGAATTCGGAGACACGTGATCAGGTAGATGTACTCGACCTAAATTAGGGCAGAACAATCCGGCTATATCAAAGTGTACGCGATAATGCTGAAATTGCTGTGTCGTTTTACTGAATATTTCCTTTAGACAAAATTATGCTCTAAAGAACCACATTACGCGCCTTGACGATAATTTCCATACATTAACGATTTCACGTATGCATATTGAAAGAAACTCGAGTACAAACACTGTTACTTAATTGCTTGCTTACCGCTTGGCTATAAACGGTCTGCTCCTCTCGCTGAGCACAAGTATTAATTTGAAACGTATCCGTATTGTTACCCTGAGCAAGCTTTATCTGAGTTGCGCACAACTCGAGAGCTGTAGCTGGAAACTCGTTACTTTCTTGATACAAGGCCACAATATTTCGTTCCACATCCTGATGGAACGCGGCCTGCCAAAACTCGGGGCTTGCCCAAACCGCATGTTCTTGTAAACATGTGTAGGCAAACTGGACAACGTTTTGTGTAAGGCGACGACAGAAGATCTAGCGAGTATAGGCAGCAAACGCAAAGAGGACGAATCACTTATTGATGCAATCCAAATTAAGAAAGACTAATTTTAGAATCTAAAGGTAAAGCCTGATAACGATGATTCAGTATCCGCGCGGGCACTAGTCACTCTAAAATCACGAAGAAGCCTTTTAAAAACGAAGTTTTTGCCTCTGGCCAACAATACTTTTTCGAAAAAAACTGACTTAACGTGATATAGAACAAACAACACACAGCATACCTGTGTTAGAGGCAGGAGGAGAATAGCGACGCCGATTGTGTTATCCACGTGCGTGTGTGGATCGTCCTGTAGCGCCGCATTCATTAGGCGGATGATCAAATCAAACTGTCCCACATCAAGTTCTACACGATTTGTCCCGCCGACGTGTCGACGCAACTCGTACGATAGAGCGGCCCTAGCTGAGGGACTCTCAAATGCTCGCAACACCCCTGGAAGACACTTCCGGGCTTCAGCAAGATTACGTTCGGCTAGGATACACCTGACACACTGTCGTAGCACATCCAGCTTCCTCTCCATGGCGGCACCACTCGCCGAGCGTCCGGCTAATCCCGCGTTCGGTACAATCCGAAGTCCTTCACCGCCTTTAGCAGAACCAGTATTTGCCGATGACTTTCCAGTAGCATTCTGTTCAATGATCGCTGTGATCTGCTGGTCGACAAGCCGAGGAAACGGCGGTTGGTGAATACGCGTGAACGCGCCTTGCGTTGGCTGTGGCACCCGTTGCAGCAGCTGGGATCCATGGTGCTCGTTTTCATATAGTAGCTTGCCGATGTCGAGAATATGTTGTTCCCGACTTTTGATTAGCTGTTGCATCTCGACGTAGACCTCATCAAAGAGATCACACGCCCGATATGGCGGACCGCGGGCTTCGACGAACTGTTGGAAAAACATTGACTCGAGTAGTTTCTCGACGAACTCTGATTTATTCTTGGCAACCTCACGTCGACTGAGGAATGCCGCCCGATTGAAAACGACGAGCGATTCGGGATGGACTCGTACAACGGTTAAACAGCATCGATACCCCTGCAGCATTTGGGCAAACATACGCAAAAAGATAGCCCGGATTTGCTTGTCGAGAGCCGCTGGGTCTTCGCGGCCACTCGAGCATCGCTCCCGTCCACCAGTGGTCGGCCCATTACCGCAGCTGTTTACGTCTGAAGGAAACGCGTCGTCTGCAGTTAACAGCTCCGGCTGTAGTGCCGAGCAAAGGTCGGCATGGAGACGCTGTAAAAGCGTGTCTGGCAAGGCGGGAATTCGTACACATTGTGGTACGTCAAGCGACCCACTGCAATAATAGCAACAAAAATAATAAGGAGGCTCATAGAACTGTAAGCTAAATTGTAAGCTTATAGAACTATCGAAGTTCATGAAATATCAAACCGAATCTATAGTTTAAATCTGTTATTTTTTTTTATTGAAGATTAACAAACAAATGAACCAAGCCAGTAACTAAACAAAGCTAACAGAAAAACAGCATTGAACTGTAAGACTCTCAGACAAAGCTGGAGATTTTGATCAGTGAAAGCGATGGTTTTCTAATTGAAAAGTGTCCATTTTGGTCCTAGAATTACACACTTCATCTAATAAATATTCGTGTCATATTCGTTAGTGTATGCTTTCAGTATTTTCGTGTTGTATGTCCAACGGCATTTTTACGTAAGTTACCATAGCTGTACATGTAAAACGTACCTGTCGAGATCAACCATCATCACGTCGTAGATATCGTAGATTTCGTCTCGTAATGAAGCGTGACAGCCCATGATGAACGGCGTCGGTGTATTGAGAACTTCGATTAGCGCTGATGGTAGAAGAGGGATATACACATGTGTATATTGAAACGGATACATCAATGAGATGATCGCATGACAGGACTGTTGTAGGCGCAAATGGCTTTGGGAGAAAAGAACTATTTTGAATTCAGACATCGCTGCACACAATAGTTGAACCTGTAAGCGATGAAGATGATTAAAGCGTACATTCAGCAGAATTACGGAATATTTGGCCCTTATTACCAAATTAACGAGCCCAATTAATCCAAGTAGTCAAAACAATTTTCCCATTTTGCTAAGAGCCAACAATAATTCGCCTTTAACAATGAAAAGCTTTTGGAGATGTTAACAGAGATGCCACTGTGATTTTCATTCCGCTCCCATACCACATTGTGTGCCGAAAGCTGTGAAAACAATGAGTAGACACTCGTTCCGGTGACGGGAACTGCAGCAAACTTTCTGGGTTCAATAACCTATAAAACGAATACATATATAAGACATTAATGTATTACCGATGAACACTAACTGTAGTACTTAGATCCGTGCAAAAATTAGTTATTTATTACTGAAAGAGAACAACAACAACAATCAAATAGTGATTCTCAGGTATAACATTTAAGTGCAAATAAACAGGTATATAGAGAAAGTAAATACATTATAAAGTAACCAAAGCACAACAATTGAACCAATTCTTCCAAACTACAGACTCCTTGCTACGGTATACTGCCCGCACATTTATGATTTGAGTTTAAAAGCAACTCACAATAGTACTTCTGGAAAATTTGGTAATACCTGCAAATCGCCAGCTCCGAGTGAAAAGCGTAACGGTGGGGAGCCTGGTGGGGGTACTGTAACAGCCCCGAGGACGTTTCCCACCAAGGTCTCTAAGGGAGCTTGAAGCCGGTCCACGTGCGCCGTGTATATTAAACCCAAACATTGCCTATAGGAGCAGCAAAGTGCACGTTAACGTCTAATGCTAAAATGGAATAAAAGGTAAATCTATGTTTCCAAAGAGTTACAAGCTGTTACAAGCTAGTCATATATAGTACTATATTCTAAGCAAAAACACAGCCACTTGCGTCTGCTTATGTAATTTATGTTTATCCTCGAATTTTATTGTTTCTTATAAACAGTGCTTCCCACATTAGTTTTTGGTTAAGTCACGAATGATCATTAATATTGACTATGTATATTTATTTGTTGGACACCTAAGTATGTTGATGTGAGCGTGTCTCGCAACCAAGACCAGACATCGAGGCGCGTATGTCAGAGAATGCCGTTCATGCTGCTTCTCCAAAGCAACTGGTTCCGTGAAAGCAAATATTGCCGCATTATGCCGCGCCCCCGTAATGTCAGTTAGTACCGCAACGAAAAACGATGGCTTAAGTGGTTGGGTTGCCAGTGACCAGCCTTGTGGCTGGCAGAACGTTTCGATGCCTGCAAATAATATAAGAACACCGTTTGCGTTTATGCGCCTAAATAAAGTTATACGGGGGCTCATTATGATAACTTTTCAGTATCCGTGTCCTGTTAGAATAATTTGCAACAAGACATGTAAATGCTTTATATTGTATTAGAGCACCTTGCACTATATCGATGCCTTCATAACGTGTACTTGGAGTTAACTTCGAGTGTTTATACCAAGGGCTAATCTCTTCGGGGGCTAATCCAATTCCACCGGTCAACTGAGGCGTGTGTAAAAGTAAACTTCGCGTTTTTGGATAACGACATTTGCAGCGAATGTTCTAATGTGGCCCATTAAGGGTACGTAGCTTTCACGACTTTTGAAATTTAGCCCAACTAGGGATTTCTTCCGCTAACAGTAAGCGCAATACTGCTTGGGCAACTGACAAGTATAGACTTCACATTGAAATGATTCCTGAAAGAGCTTTCAACATCGAAGGAAATTTCAATTTACTTCCATTTATCCGACCGTCATTTGAAGAAAACTAGCTTGTTCATGTTAGCGTTACTTTCCCTATCATGTGTACACCGATGGGAAGAAGGTCCTCGTGATACATATCCTCGATGATTGGATTTTTATCTATGTTCACCAGTATGTATCGTTTTAACCTAATACTTACTTCATTTATCATTATGTTGTACTTAACAATACGCATAGCATTTCTTAATAACCATAACGTAATACGTGAAATTGTTTGAGGATACTTTTATATGTTACTTGTCATATTTGTTCCTTCTGCAGACTAACCTCGAATGAAGGGCACATCTTTCCAGTCGATAATAGGATATCTCTGCTCGACAATACCTTGACTACTCCCGGAGCGCTCTTTGCAGTGGTCGAAACCGACCACTACGAAATAGTCCGCCAATCGGACTGACATGTTCAGCTCACACTCACATCACACGAGCAGTAGATAGAAGGCATTTGTCATAATTGCATTTGCCATTGACTCTACAGAATAATTTTTTGTGGGGTACGTAACCTTCCTTTCTAAACCCCAAAGACTAATTTGATTTCATAGCAGTTCGGCGTCCTTTAGCCAAGAAACGCTTGAGCACTATGACGAAATCCTTCCAGCACGCGAGTCATCGTCAGGCAGCAAAACCAGCGATTGGTACTGGATAAAGGCAATCACAGGTCACTTCGAATTAGAATTCTATCCGTATAGTCACTGAAAACAGCCGTTAGAGAATATTCAACATATAACAAATCTACCATTCTTCGCTCGCTGTAATCATAAAAAAGTATTTGGTCTAGTAAAAGAAGATAGGGAATTTTTGATAAGGATATTTATTTGTAGCTATTTTGCATAAAATTCGATTGAACAGCTGTAAAACTGTCACTATGTATTATCCTTTTCAGGAAATATATTTACTAACTTAAGTGAGTGTTATAACGAGTTTTATCGTCACAATTAGCTTTTGCATTTTACACGTGAGCTACAGTGGGGATATGGTTCGTCGTACTTTTGAAACTAAAATGACAGTTTATCAGTAATGCCGTAACTGATTATTATTATATGGACTAATATTCACAGTCGCACGCTTTCAAAACAGTAAACAACACTTCAACAAACTAGATATTGACTAAACAAACCATTTAATAACCAAATCGAAATTGTAATTGAGGCGTCTTTTCCATCCCAAAAAAACACTGTGCCTAAAGTTTTACCTTGACAGCAACCATTTGATAAGGAAAGTCAATCTTCAAGGGTACATAGCAATAAACGATTGAAAAGCTTTTCGACTTCCGTAGCCAAAGCCTGAGGTACGAAAACAGGAGAGCTTATTTTGCTTAGCTCTGAAAGTCGCAAGAATATTGAATAAATTATTGCTTTCGGCTAAAAGATACGGCCATCAAAAACTGAAGACTCCTTTTTAAGGGAAACTGGAAATCCTTTTTAAGGGAAATCCCAATAAATAGGGACACAGTATGGTGAAATATTGCACTATGAAGCCCCATGAGCTTGTAACGAACACAGCATATTATTTTTTTACTTGGAATATTATATTTTTACTCTTGAAAATTCGGAAAAAGCGTTCCGTGACACTGAACAAATGGTGGACGTATTTATGTCCTAGAGTATTTGAACGTTTTTCAACGGTAAACGAAATCTTCCTGTTCCATAGCTCATTGCATTCATTAGATTTAGTGATGTACGCACGGAGCTGCAAGGAACAGTCGAACCTGTTGGACTACACTAATGGTATCCAGAATCGTACGACGATTCATAACGCCATATACTACACAACACAAAACAGAGCTTAAACAATAGAATATTACAGCCTAGTATCGAGAGAAAATTAATTGAAAGCAGCTTTAATGCTGAATAGGTGACAGTTGCTGCTGCAGTACTACTTTGCATATACACGAGTATGCGTATCTTTAGATAGGGGCTTTGCTTGAAAATGTCAAATCGTTCACAACAAATCGTTGAATAAATGAATCAGATTAATATATGAGAAAATATCTTAAAGCCATGGTTCATATTTCGGGCTGATGCCCCATTAAATATTATTAATATCAGTTCTAATAAAAAAAATCTAATAAAAAAAAGAGTAATGCATATTAAATATTGTCTACGAATTTCTGAACGTCGACTTGAGAAATAAGTTTTGCTAACCATTCACTTCTACAGTACCTTTTATAATATGTTTATACAGTACGTTTTAAACAATTTTAGTGTAAAATGTGTTCCAGGGCTATTAAGAGTACTTAATTACAGAAGTACATACAGTTAGTAGTCAATATAGCCTATGCCTGATCTCGTACCACAACTCATAGTGCAATGTACAGTATTTATGTTAACCGACTAATTTAGACATAACGTAACTTACCATCAATGGAGCAAATAAGCTTATTAAGTCAAAGCTATTGTTATTTCGACGAGTTATTGTTATTATATTTTTAACGCCTTGATGAGGTAAACAACCTTAAACACGACGCCAAGCAGCTATTGCTTTATTTACAATATAATAAATTTAAACAACTTCGCGGCATTTATCAACCTGCCCAATTGAGGTTGTGCATGCCGTCCGTATCCAGGTGCCAGGTTCAACTTAATATTTGTTTTTTAATATTCTCATAATTATACAAATATTTAATAGCAGATTTCAATGGCACCGACCTACACATATCAGTTTCATTGTTCAAATATAAATTGCTAATAATCATTTTAACTAGCTCTAATAACGCTAAACTTTCCTTCGAGGTAATTAATAAGCTACGAAATCTCCTCCGTTGACTTGCGCGCATAAAATACTAAATGAACGGAGTAAAATGTCTCGAAATATATTGTTACCGTCTATTTTCTTTCATAATTCATTACGCAATGAACAGTATAGTTGTGGTCAGTGTTTTTTTACATACAATCATCTGAAGTTTACTCGAATCACGCCACCATCCCATTGCGCTATTTACGTATATTCTGCTGTACAGGTCACCTGTCTTATGCTTGGAAAGCCTCTGCATTAGCGTTGATGATAATAATAGATTTGATAAGATTAATACCAATGTTCTATAAATCAAAACTAATTAGCTTTTTACACAACACTACCACCAACAGCGCCAACAATAACAGCATCTACCATAATAATAAACAGGAGAAAAACAACTCACACACACACATACACAAACAACATGGACTGCCGATGCCTTCTATGAGCGCCCCCTTTCGGCCCAACAAATATATGAGATTAGTGTCTATATACATACATCTCGTTCCCAGCTATGTTTTAGGATGGCCGCGATCCTGCATCCAAACTGACCGCTTCGTCTCTCTGAACGAGTTGAAGAAGCATCATGGTCGTGGCCGTCATAACGTCCCTTGTGTGTGTGCACGGCGCCGCTGTCGCCCCCCTCCCCCGCCTCTCTACACGCATCTATGTGTCTCGGTGGGTGGATGAGTGGTAAGTTATGTGCCTCTCTCGCTTTCATAATATATCTTTACATTCCCTGCTTTCGACCTCAGTCTCATTGTTACCTCTTGTAAATCATAAGCACTAGTTATTTCTAAAATACTAGCAGTAATGCGCTACGGGTCGTAAATACATACTTGGACCAGCTGAAGTTGTTATCACACGTTAGACATGCGCGCCCTTATGCACGGCCGTTGCTACGGTACCCATTGCCAGCATCTGCACACGTAAATAAGAAACACAAGCACACACTCACTCAAACGCAACCATCCGCCCATCGAGACATTTGCATCATCGATATCATCATATCCATGGGGAATATACAGACAGACAAGCAGCTACTAGTCAGATAGCTAATCATGTACGCTCACGTAGACGAGTTCGGTATGATAAAGGCAGAGCGAGAATCGTAATGGCCGTTACTCGCTGGTGATGGTGCTGATGACCCTTATTGGAGGAGAATAGCGGTTACTAGCGGACGCAAATACGAACGGACTGTCGGAGTACAGTCCACAATGGCGGCGACATTTTTCCAAACCGAATCGAGATACAAGAACTAATGCGATCACAACTATTGCCACCGTTGCGGGTCACTTCCAATTAAAGACTGGTGTTGCTTCCTAGCATAGTGCCTAGCAAGCTCGCTAGCATGGCAACTTTTCTACAAGCACAGCTCCGTTCGTCTTGTCCATCTGTTTGTTGATCTGTCGGTCCATCCACCCATCGGCAAACCCAAACGCGCAGAGGAGAAAAAAAATCTAAAAAAGCGTGAAGAACAAGCAGAGGAGAAAAACGCAGCGCACCAGCAGCCGCGTCAAACCGACGACTGCAACAGAGCCGAACAGCATCGATGAGAGTAGTAACCGCACGATTGCTAACAAAACGAAATCCCATGAATTGTTACCACAACGATGTTTCGAGCCCGCTCTAATAGCCAACAAAAAAACAACGCAGCCGTCAAATAAGATGACACTAATTTATTACCTAACTCAACCTTAACTTATGTGTAGTCCAGATTCTTTTTCTGAGGAACAGAAGATCAACCATACAGACAGACTCAATTGGATGGGCAATACTATATAAACATAAAATAACAACAATAAGTAAAGTAAGCCCCTTAAAATGGCTGATAAGCTGTACCAGTACTCGGCAGAAAAAGAGTTGAGGTTAACTGTCGATGATCAAGGAAGATACAAGAAGCTTCTTTTTTTTTATGATCTCGGTCGAAAATATATAATAATTGTTAAGGTACAATAACACAATTCTTTATGGATCAGGTCGAAATAAAAACAAAGTTATCTTCTGTACCGTTGCCTATCCCGCCATTTGCTGCTCTGCCTCGACATAAAAAAAGTGCGAAAGTAGATGAACTGCCAATGGCGCGCGAACATCCATGTATATTTTTGCTTAATTCAACGTTACATAACAAAGTTCTCGCCCAGAGGATCGCTCATCAAGCACATACGATCTATTATAATAGTACAATGAGCAGTATACGCAAGGGTAAAACTGTAAGATGCCATCAACAAACATGATGCAAATAGTAGGCTTATTTCTCATTACTGAGGAAGCAAGAGATCATACACGTGTGATTTGCCAAGAGGAAATTAGCTAATTACAGACAGAGTAATTTTAGGATGAATGAGATATCATTTGATGTCTTACGCAATTCAGTGGTTTGCAGAATTCAAATGCTGAACCAAAGGTAAATATGAACATTGCCGCGTATTAGCAAATTCCGAAAAAGTTCTGATTGGCCTTAGTGTAATATTGTCTTAGCACCTTTCTTTACGTTACTGGCCAAATCTCTCAGAGAATCAATTCACTTGTAGCATAATGTCGACGACCAGTTTGGGATGGTCCGATCGAGCTTCGAGTTAAGTGACAGTTGACACTCGAAAAGTCGTCACTCCACCTAGTTTACGGTCTAGAGCAAAAAGGAGATGCCCTCGTCATGCAATTTATGCCTCTTTTATTAGTACGTGCCAACTGGTTATAAACATACACAAGTGAAACTCAAATAGCTACATGCGCCGTAAATATCTATCAAAAAAGCTGAGATAGCGTTGAAAAAATATATCCTGTTCCAGCAAAAAAATCTAGGAAGATATCCACATCTCGCAGCCTTGTCGACTATTACAACAGTATTGTTTTAATTAGACAGTACCTTATCTAAACGTTCTTTTACCATATACCACTACATGCGAAGTGACAATGGGTCACCTCTTCTCTTGTTAACGCACAGCTTGAACTGCTGTCCATTAATCAAGCACCAAATCACCTATATTGCCTACGTTAATCAATCGATTATGTTCACACGTAATGACTGGCAAGTGCAAACTACAGGTAACAAGCTGACTTTAAACGCAGCGTCCGTGCAGATATGGCGAGAGAGATACATCGATTTCGATGATATCAACAATAATAGTAACGATACCGTCGGTCCAGGGCACTGTTCGATACTCTATCAGCGCCCTATGAATGGCGGGCCACTGTACTCACATCCTCAGAAGAGACACTTAGACACCGAAACTCGTCTTCATTTTTCTAACTTTACAGAAAACAAACGCACGCATTTTTAGCCAATGATACCGACGTTATTGGGATACGGAGCGACAGGGAGCATCATGCAGACTTGACTTTGATCAGTAGAAATTTCTCCCACCTGCGCCACGCATAACTGCGGAGCACTATTAACTGCCTATCGCACTCTGTCTATTCTAATGCACGGTTCAGCCCCTGTCTATTACAATCAGCCGGCTCGAGTGGGTCCTTTCTCTCTGACTGCTGGCACTGACACCCGCTTGAAGTCGTTATCATAACAACATTTTCACACGAGGCGCCATCTTGCAAACGGCGGGCCGGTAGCCCGCCAAAAATTCATGCAAGTTAGGTGGATAGCTAAACAAAATAAAGGAAAAAAATACATACATTTTCGTTAGTTTTTTTCCAAATCGGTAAGTAGCACTGTTTGTAGTCTAATAGCTTTGCTATACAATACATAGAGTAACTGAGGGCTGTCTTGAATAAGGTTTCATTTAAAATGCTATGAGGGATTCGACGACACGCAGTTAATGGGAGTATATTATTTATAAAGTTTTATCACACATTTAGCGAAAATTGATTTGTCGACCAACGTGTTCGACCACAGACAACCACAGCGTCGGCATAGAGATGGCATTGAGACGTACGAGACACAACGCAGTATAGAATGTACAAGTGTTTCACCAATAATAGATCGACTAAGACCGAAGGAAGCATTCACGACAAACGACATTGATAAGCGTAGATGAAGGAGAGATTCGCAAAGCCCCAGACTGAGTGGAGCCCCTCAGAGTTGATGAGGAAGTACCAATAATTGTATAGCTGTAACATGTTTGTCCAATAGACTTATGGACATTTGGCGGGATCACCTAGACTAGGCGTAGACACACAATACTTCGAACTGGACGGCAGAATCCTGAAGCAATGGTTAATCACAATACTGGACTTAAAATAGAAGACATTTATTTAGAATTTGAAACAGACAGATTGAAAAAAAACGGCCTTGCGTAAGACGATGCTAGAATTCACGGAATTTATCCCCTAACTTTATTTCAATATATGTGCTATAGTTTTAAAATCATAATCACATGTTACCGATTGATTTGCCCGCCCCTCCTCTTGTTCCCCCTAACCAATCACGCTTACCTGTTTCTAAATTCTTCTTAATGCTTCGATGAAACGTTCGCTTTTCATAGGAAATGGTTCAACGTATAATGAAATTTCAGTTCAGAACCTCATCAGAACAATACGTAACAGTAGGCCACATACGAGCGTGATTGATTTTTACTTGTTTCTCTCTATCAGTAATTTTTTTTTACAACAATATGGCTCTTGTTTTTTGTCATTATGTACGTCTTACTCCGCTAAGCAGCTATTTGAGAGAAAGGAAAACGACAGAGAAAATTGCGTATTGTAGAAAATTGTAAAAATCAGATCTGATGTCATGTCATTTTTTGCCAATGCAGGCCAAACATTGTGCTTTCGCAGGAAACCTGTAAACCGGCACTCATTGCAGCAACTTAGCGTCTTAATCCGTTTAAAGTGTCTCCCTGAGTCTAATCCGGCCACACGATTTTCTTTCAAAAAATTGCAGTACTTTTTCTAATAATATCAGTAATTCGTCATGAAAAATATCCCTATTAATTAGCTCTACTCTAATGAGACTAAAGAAATAATAGAACTTAAATTCCATGAATTGTGTAGACCAAGATACTATTCAATGATAGGGTATAATGACGATCATGGAACTCCTGAACTGAAATCAATAATTGGCGCAACGAGCTAGTATTTATATTACCGTAACTAACTAAAAATACTTATATTTATTTATTAAAGCTGAATTTAAGCTTACATGTAGCATGCTGATTATATATCGAAAAAATTTAGCTTGCATGCGTCTCGTTTCCATTTACCGCATAGCTCTAAACGAAAGCTTTATTAAGTTTTACTAAAGACAAATTTTATCCGAGTACAATCAACAATATGGGAATTAGGAAGATCGGTGTCTCTGTAAAAAGTGTGCATTCAAGGTCTACTATTTTGGAAAGAACCCACAAACCGGCTGAATTTTACTTATTAAATAATAGCAAGCATTTGCTAGTAGTTAAAAGTAAACGGCACAGTCCATATTCAGCTTCTTTCCGTTTTTCAGTTTCTTCCAGAACCTTAATCCGTGGTTTATCCATATTTGCAGATTTGCTCAAAAGACCCAGACGGCCTTCGGGCTTATGGCCGAAGTACAGCCCAAACATTATCTATCAGTCTATATTTTTAACATGATCTGTCGAAAGATGTGTGCATCACAAGGGCAATAATACCTTGAACGGCTCGGAACTCAGTACATTGCTGGTGCGGAATGTCAAGCACAGCAAAGGCTAACGCACCACGGCAGCATGGCGATTACCTTCGCAGCCTTCATAAACACTTCTCGGATATGATTGCCTCAAGAGATACGATACCACGTGCTGTACCCTGTTTCGCTCCAGCGTTAGAAGACGAGGGTCTTAATACAATGCGATATCCCTCAAGAAAACTTCACAATGCGGGACCGAACGCGAGGCCTTTGAAGCCTACAGAACGGGTCCAGATAGGACCTGCAAAGAACTCAAATGCCCCGTCGTTCTGGCACCGGTCTAGATAATATTGTTTAATACATGTATACATACTAGTACACTCTTAATCCAGTGAAGAGACGCTGTTTTGTTAATGACTCTTATAAAAAAAAGGGCGACCTCAACTGCGTTTTTACCATGTCGTATATTATTAAAAAAAAAAAGCGTTTACTATAAGCTGCTTTCCGCCTTGTTAATGAAAAGACTGGACAGCTGCTTACAGAGCGTACACGCCATTCCAACGTCGCAGCACAGGTTCCGGAGAGAGCGGCCCACAGAAACGGTGTACAGGATAGTGATCGCCAACCTCAAGAGATCACTTGCCACGCCATATAATCAGCTACACGCGATGCTCGACAACTTCAAGGCAGTCTTCAATTTGGCACTGAAGGACGAGATTAAGCTTACGCTGACTAAGGTTAGGATCGTTGTGAATATGCTTAACCTTCTCGTTGCGATTTTACATTAGAAAAGGTCAAACTTTTGCCGCTCACACGGCGACAGCTGGCCTGGTTCAGAATAACAATGTAAGCTTGCTTTTATTCTTCATTTTGCTGAAGGGCCTCTCCGACAAAATACGACAGCGGAGAAAATTAGTCGAAATCATCTTGTGTGCCAACAACCTGGTGGTATACGGGTCAAACAGGTTTCAAATGCAACAAGCTCTGGCTCGGTTCCATAAAGCATTCACAGCTTTGGGACTAACCGTAAACCTAACAAAGACAGGGGGATCAAGGTTAAAAAGTAAGACAGGGCAACAGCAAACGGGATCCGTACTTGGATTTATTCTTCTCCGAAAACAACAGAAGTTCCACGAAAGATGCAGGAAGGCAGCGTTGACCGCATAAACGATCAAGTTGCCTTTGCTCCTGAGTCGTCGCTTTAAGTTTCTAGCAGCGAAAGTCTCCAAGGAGAACCTTAGAGACTGGGAGCAAAAATATGCGGAAATTGATGGAAATCCTTTGCTTCAGATGCGATAACGAACAATAAGCAAAAAAAGACAAGTTAGCAAAAAAAGGCATGTCCTAAGTCGCTTCGCCGTGCACGGATTCCATCATAGACCCCGTAGGAATAAGGCTTTCCACGAGCCTGCCAATACACGCAGATGCTCCAGACACAGGAAAATTGTGATAATCACCGTGCTGCTCGTTTCCCTCTGGTAAATCTATCGATTTTAAACCAAACACAGCATAGTTCGTAGAACCTAAGAGGCACTACTTTATATAGCTCTGTTTATTCTGTCTAATATTGAAACATTGTATTATTGAGCTGTATATATCAAATCTTTGACTACTGTCAGCAAAGGTAAATGAATAGCATTTGATTTGATTTGAGAAAGTATAAATTCAAACTCTATTGTCTAAACGGGAAAAACATGCAGGTCTGATTTTACCTATAAAACAGTGGTAAACATTTGCTAGTTGTAACGCGGTGTGTATATATACACAGATTTTCTTATAGATAAGTACTAGTAATAACTTAATTGAAAGACAAATCGGCTTGACATTTGCAGTAGAAAAACAGAAACGATATCACAGTACATAAACACTTTCCATATCATATCTTTCTAAGCGAGCATTTATTCTTTTTCTATGCGTGGCTTTCATATGCAAACATGTTATACTTATTTAGAACATGTATATGGATTATTTTTCTGATATAATACAGGTTATTCACAGGGCACGACAGAAATGCTTCAAAGATAATGACGAAACACTCTTCATAGGTTTTCGTCGCGGGCAGCTTTAATCTCCAGAAGAATTGAGTGTTAATCAATCCTATTTATTTACCCGTGTTAGATTGGTATCACAGAGCTTTAAATTTTAATGTTAGTTCTGAGCTTTAGCAGAAAGGAAAAGATGAAATCGAGTGAAATAAACAGAAATTACTATTCAAGCTTATGACATCGGTATATAATGGTTGAGCAATAATTATGATAAACAAAAGCCTTTCTTGATTTGCATGCATTTTAATTCTATATGTAATGTGCTTGACTAGCAGTATGTAGAGAGCAGGATAATTACCTCAGTTGTGAAGTGCTGCTATGATTTTTCTGGTAGTAACTTAAAGATCTATTTTTAAAGCAAACTAAGCGAGACATCAGCTTCAAAAGTTCTTCTTTCTGTAAAAACTGGATAACTACCTGGACGAGACTTCAGGTGTAAAAGGATTAAAAAACACCAAGCCCATCTTCCAAAAAATTCACCTCAAAATAGTTGGAAAATTTCAACGAATTTGCTAATCTTTCTAATTCACATACTAAGTTTATGTTAACACAGGTTTTGCATCTTTGAAATATAATCATATGACCTCCTTTCTGATTACCCGCATCACATAATTAGCAGTTATTATTATTATTTGTTTAATATCAATTGTGACGAAAATAACCTTATTTATTTCACACCAGACACTATCGTATAGAAGTAGAAAGCCAGTATTTTTTATTGACCAAACTAAAAAATTAGGATTTGTTAGCTTCGATAACAGAGTAAACATATTCCACTTACTTGGGTTATTCTGTATATATCGTTTATGACCATGCGCAATCTATTTATGGGCGATCTATTCATTATGATAACTTTTGTTGACAAACTAATGCGACTACATATGGAGGCGTCTTCTATGATTTTGTATCTCACGGTCCCGCCCGTTCCTGATTTCTTTAAACCCATTTGAACTTTCCCGCCAAATAAATCACTACGCTTTTTTGGAGCGTGCGGGTGGTTTCGGATTCCTTTTTCTGTGGTATTCTTGCACGTGTGAATTGATCAGGTAATTTTTGCGGATTTTCAGCAAAAGTGACAACTACCTGCTGTGAAAGCGTGTTGCATATGTGCTGCCACCGTTATTGAATGATCAGTGTACCTAAAATAATCGGTTTTGTCCTGTTTGTGCGAAAATAGACATGTAACGTTGTAAGGTTTTCCCAGCTAGCTGACGAATTTTTGAGACACATGTTCATGAACCGTACGTTCGATCCAAACCATCCATCTTCTCAGTACCATTAGGAAAAGATTACGATGTTTGTGTTACAGAGTGAATAATCGACTTGTGAGAGAACAGTGACAAATTTAAATGTAAAAAATGCTTATGAAGAAGACGGTACGATGTTGTGTTCATAGTTTTCAGTAAGCACTATCTGTGTAACAAGTACCGGCATCGATCAACTCAACGTAGAAAGCGTCATCTTTTATTACAGTAATTTTTCATTTGACATTGTTTCCTCGCTCTCCAGTTTTTCGAATGGTGCATAGCAGGAATATAGATTAGGTATCCATCTAATTGAGTGTTATATGTGCTTACTTTTCTGTCGTCTTACAGCCAATAGTTCAGGATGGGTCGTATGCACGCTCCCGGTAAAGGTATCTCTCAGAGTGCTATCCCTTACTGTCGATCAGTTCCTAACTGGCTGAAACTCACGGCTGATGATGTGAAGGAGCAGATCTATAAGCTAGCCAAGAAGGGTATGACTCCATCGCAGATCGGTGTAATTCTGAGGGACTCGCACGGCGTGGCCCAAGTTAAATGGATCACCGGCAACAAAATCCTTCGTATTTTGAAGGTAAATACTTTTTTTACAACGTAGGCTATATAGTGAACTAAGTACGGGCCCGTAGATGCCAGAACGTGTCAGTAACATCATCGTTACAACATGACAAACATTACTGCTTAGTGAAAAACAAATACAAAAGCTCTGTTTTTTAATTTTGTCGAGAAATGATACAGTTAATGTTACATGTTTATGTGAGAACAAATGCCATGTATAACCAATCCATTTTATTCACTTCCTTAAATATTAGATTGACAAACGACGATTTGTCGTCCGCCACTTATTAATGGATTACACTGTTTGTGAACTAGTAGGATTTGATGAGCACATTTGGTCTTGAAAACATGCTATCTTTCGAACTCTCGCATGGCTTTCTGAAACTTTCTTCTTACAGAGCAAGGGCCTCGCTCCGGATCTCCCCGAGGATCTGTATCACCTCATCAAAAAGGCTGTGGCAATCCGCAAGCATTTGGAGCGGTTCAGAAAGGATAAAGATTCGAAGTTCCGTCTTATTCTCGTGGAATCACGTATCCATCGTTTGGCTCGTTACTACAAGACCAAGCGCGTATTGGCGCCCACCTGGAGATACCAAAGCTCGACCGCCTCGGCTCTCGTTGCTTAAAAACAAAAATAAATGCTTTTCTCTGCGGCCGATGGTAGCGTCGCCTAGTGTTTGAAAAAAATGTGATGGTTTTTTCATTTCACTAATTCCGGAGTTTTAGAAGTTCTTCCTATTTAGAGACATAGGTACAATAGCACTTCAGCTAGTAACAGGCAAGGCAGGATGGTAGGTATAACAACTTTCTAATCTGCTGTATATATGTGGCACCTTCGCCTAACTTTGGTATATCGTTTAAGGTAAAAAATTAGGCAAGTTACGTAGGTAAAAAAATACGGAAATTACGTGGTTACAATGCGTATATATGAATGCGTAAGAATGATATTTGAATACCTAGATTATCGACAACATAGGATATAGCACATAATGCGTCAAGAATGATATCTTAATACCTAGATTATCGACAACATAGGATATACTAAACGTTCAATTTAGATTTATTTAGTATGTGTAATGATGCAATTTTGTCCCTTGTAGTAGTGAAACGTTGCATTTACTGATGTCGGTAATTTCTATCATTATTCATGGAGAATATCTGAAGCAAAAACTTGTGCCGAAACCCGGGATTGAACCAGGGACCTTTAGATCTTCAGTCTAACGCTCTCCCAACTGAGCTATTTCGGCTACATTATGCCGTCGGCATAAAGGTACATTTATATCAGTGTATTTCAATCTCACCGTAAATATCCTTTTTCCAGCAAACGAAGCTGTAAAGTTGAGAATTAAAAAATATTTAAAACCTATAGCAAAAAAGAAAACAAACTGGGTATGATGCTATTAGAAGTACTGAGTGTAAGATGTGTAACCTATTAAGCTTAAAAAAAATTGTAGATCGGAATGTAAACATATTAAACATTTTAGGCTGTCGAACTATCAAACTAGTCCACAATCAACATACACGTCTGTAATTAGAAAATGCAAGTGGCCTATGTAGCATTTGAGTGATTTGTCGTACTGGAGTTGTATTTAATCAACAAGATCAACATTAATACAAGCTACATTGTTTTTTTTTGCTTATTTCAGGCGAGATTTATAACACAATGTTGACAAGGTTTAAAAGCAAGATGACTGATCGTCTTTTTTTTTAAAACGAACTCCAATTGAGCCTCTGTCTCTTTTTTAATGACAAACGCTGTTCTTCGAAATAATCCATGTACTTAAATTTAGAGGGTACAAATTCTGAATATGAAGTTCTTTTTTCGTTTAACATTCTTGTAATTCAATATACTTCGAGCTGTAAATAGATGTCACTATCTTATGAGTTAAAAACAGTTTTTGTCATTATGTACGAGGAATTTAACTCGCTATTTGTTTGGCTATTGTTTCCCATTTCTAGATGTTTTAATTGTTCGAGCGTAATGAGATCTTTGATGCTTGTTCTCATTGCAAGCGGGTAAAAAAGCTATACTTACAATCTACAACCGCGTTTTTTAAGAAGGTAAGGATATATAAATACAGGCTGAAGTTTTAATGTCCAAGTTCTACTAAGTTAGATTATGGAAATTGCACTTAGTTATACCGACTGGTACTAAACAAAATATTGAGATTAATAGGAGAAGCTCAGCTTTCCCTCAGCTTTCGCTAAAGGAGTAAAGAAAGGCATGCGGGCGTGGTTCGCTGTTTCTACACTTTATTTCGATATCCATAAGTAACGCAAGATCAAAAAAAATCACTTGCTGAAGAAACCTGAATTTAATCAGGAGCTGCAATAAGGATGATATGGCTACTTGATTAATTATATAGGCTTTAGGTATTGTTATTAATTACGAGTCCTTAGGTCCACTGGAAATTCTAAGCAAGCCGGGTTGACTGAGCCAGCGAATGCCACGATCACCTTGAGGTAATCAGCAAATTACTATACTTCCAGGTGACAATCGGTATTTTCTTCTCGGGACGGTAAATAAGATTTGACATTGCGTCCACATTTGTTTTATTAAAAAAAAAACTATTACATATGCAAGTTAATCAAATATGAGGTTGTCTGCAAAACGGTTATCACGTGTTATATACTGTTAAAAAGCGCTTCTTGCCTTACAAGATCGTTGTTATCGTCTTCTACAAATCTAATAGCTTGGACCTAAAGGGAGGTATGTGAGCTAAAAAAATTACATGAATTTGATACATCAAATCAACGTCGATGCCAAAAGGATGCGGAAACAATCCTGATGCTTTGTTTTGCGTACGGCAAAAACACTAAAACTAAGAGATATGAACTGATCGAACAGCTGTCTTCTCTTAAAAGTGATTTAACAGATAAGCTCCAAAAAACCAAAAATTAGAAAAGCGAAACAATAAAGAGTGTCATTATTTCCCTGGTAGCTTGATATTTTTTAATTGTTTCTTTGTGATTTATTTACTCATTTCCTCAATGTGCTTCCGCTTTCTAGTAAATTTGTGCATGCATTTTCGATATTGAAATCATCAGTAAAACGGGCATAAAATCAACTTCGTATACTATTTCTTACTGCGTTAACAAACATATAATATAAAATTTTGAAACGTTTAATATAAAAAATCGCTTTTTCCAATATTGTATTTCGTGCACATTTACTAAAACGCTAAACGTTTTTCCGCAATATACGGTTCTTTATCATTACATAATTATAACTAAAAAAACACTTTATTGAACAATAAACATGTTTCACTTCTCGGGATCAGTTGTTTATCGGTTTACGGTTCGTGACGTATTTACGATACTTTTTAGAATCGAAATCCGTCGTGAAAACTATTTTCTTTTCCATCATTTCTTTCGGCCGTCGTTTCAATAATACGATCTGCTTTTCCTCGGGGCTTAGTTCGTCGAATCGAAGGGGCATCTGCACAATCTGGCGGGGTTCATGATACCTGAAGGCAGTTTCAAAAAATTATATAGATAGACAGATTCCACTTTTTTCATGTGTCAACCTTACCAACTTGCTGTTGGCTGAAAAATGGGAATTATATACCTATTGAGAACTTTGTCTTTGACTCTCTACGTCATCTTTCAACTAAAATATATTCTCGTTTCTCAGTGTTGCATCTTTCTTTAAGCACACTTATTTTAAAATTTATCTCTATTCGGTTCGGGGGCGTTATTAGTTATCTCGATTTGCCTCCTGATACTCGGAGATAGATTACAGCCTCGGTATTTTAATCCTACAAATAAAAGCATTGGGATTTTGAAAAACCGTGAGAATTCGTCCAGCAACGAACTTTGTGTTAACTCCTTTCGATAAAACCTTTTGCAGGTATTCAGTTATATACTTGAGAAGCATGTATAATTACTATACATCTATAGTTAATTTGGTACCTACTTGGCCAAGTTCAGTATACGAATGTTCGAGCGTTTCTTTTGAAACAACTTCCTTATTTTGCATATTGTTTAAAATGTAACACCACGCATTACGAGACATTACTACAGTAGATTTTATTAGCCAACACACACTTATCATAGGCCTTACAGAAAGAAACTTTTGAAAATTTGTCAAACAGCACACAGATGCATGTTTTTTCCAACGAGACACGTTGCCGGTATGCTTTTGGAAAAAATATGCCTACTGGTTTGTAGCCTTGGTTCAATGTAGTTTAAATATTTTATAATTCGAACCACACATTTCACATAGACTATCTGAAATCGTTGGCTGCACTACATATTTTTAACAGAATTAAGCAACACTGACGTTCTACATATAAGCAGCAAAACCAATTTACTTTGTAACGTTTAGTTAGAACTAAATAAAACTATGTAACAAATGGATGAAAAAGGAAATTACTTCATCATTCGATTTGTAATCTTATTTGTTAATGTACACGATTTCACAATTAACAAGCGTAGTTATAGATTAAATATTAATAATAGACCAATTACATTTATGTCATAATTCGGAAAAATCTAACTGGTGCTGCAATAAGCCACAGAATACAGTATCTTGTGCACAATCGTCTCTCTGCAAGAAATGTCTGATGCACCGGTAGTTAAATGAGCCGGTACGAAAGCTTTCGAAAACAGGAGCGATTCAACAGCACCTGGTAAAGTTAATGTATTACTATTATATTCTATTATTGAAAATCTAAGTGTTTACCGCGTTATTATGTATGGGTAGTTAATTCTAATCTTCTGCATTGCACGAATTGACCACTAGGTTAAATATATTGGCTACAAAATAGACATTGTTATTTAGAGCTATAAACTCTTGTTCGTGACACTGACTATACAGCTAAATCAAAAAAAGTTGATAGCAAGTTATTTTATAAATATATTGCATAAATCATTGTAGTTACGGTAATATAGACTGGTGAGTTTCAAAACATTTTTGAGGTGACAATGGACATTAACTAATTTTCTTAGTCTTGTATTTACCACTACAGCCCTACTAAATTATCTACTGAGAAATGAAAGTGTCTCGCAAAACCGTTCAACAGCTGTTTTCAAATTTTTAGCCGCTATATGTATACATTGTCTTCAAATGTTCATTGAATGGAATCAAATGCAAATCTTCATATTTAAAATAACTGTTTCTGCTGAGGCCACTGCTTGTTTTGGTCGGTGTCCTTCGCATAGCTGAAGATCAACATCGCCAGTGCTTTCGAATTTTATCTTGGGTCAATCCTCGTACTCCGGACACGTTACAATGACGACTTTGAGAGTGGTAGAAATCTACGAAAAAATGGGGTACCTTATTGTGAACGTGGATCCGTCCGGTTGCACCAGCATTGTTGGATAGAGTCTTACGTAAGTGGCTCGTTTCATCTTTGTAATAAACGCCTCATTTGTATTGAATAGTGGTCGATAAACATGAAAAAACTTCTTCAACACGCTATTCATGGAGGTCGCCATCTTGAAATGACGCTTCGCGCAGAGGTGCGGCATGGCGCCCTCTGCCGACCCTTGGGAAATCGGAAAGAACCGTAAGCCTTTTCGTTGATTTCAGCTTATTGACTATTGTCGATACTGAATTTTGTTGTCAAAGATTGGTCTACTCGAGAAATAGCTCTGCGAAAAAAATAGCAGCCCGATTCCGGTAAAAACGCGCGTTTGAGTTTAAAAGGGCTAGCGGGCATTGTGCTCCGCCCTTTCCATGCTCTCCGACCTGCGGTGCCTTTGGCCGGTCGTCCTTCTGGTGTCACACAGGACGCAGACCTCTCCGGGTGGTGATCGTGTGCCCATTGTGTGCTTCTGTGCCTCAGTGTAGTCTTGTCTCGGCGACCGCGGAACTTCTCAGCACCAATAACCATGTTTCTTGCAAGCAAGATTGTCACCCCTGTGGTGTGCAGGAATGTGGCCAATCGTTCATTACCGGCCGCTCAGATTCTGGCGTCATCGCAAAGCACAATAGTTCAACAGCAGCGCAAGCAGATCACGATTGCCCCGATGTCCTCAGTTTTCGGAACGCTGGCTCCCATTCGGCCCTTGCACACTTCGATCGTGTCGCGGGATATCGACTCGGCAGCTAAATTCATCGGTGCCGGAGCTGCGACTGTCGGAGTAGCTGGCTCAGGAGCTGGTATCGGTTCCGTATTCGGTTCGCTCATTATAGGCTATGCCAGGAACCCGTCGCTTAAGCAGCAGCTTTTCGCCTATGCCATTCTCGGCTTTGCCCTATCTGAGGCAATGGGACTGTTCTGTCTCATGATGGCCTTCCTGCTCCTGTTCGCGTTTTAGGTTTTAAAGTTTGACCTTCGTCATCATCAATTATTACAGCAAGTAAGAAATAAAAAAGGAAGCAACGAGTACTGCAACAGCACCAGTGAGACAACCAATAACTAAGAGAAAAAAACAAAAAATAAGCACAGGAATGATGAACTCGTTCCTCTCTAAAGATGCCACACTATTCAAAAGAAAACCTGTCTATTGCTGGCCAGCTGCAGCGAATCATCAATAGGAGAACGGAAGATTTAAACGCTACCAGTTGATATACATATATAATGAAAAGAAAGGAAGTTTGTGCATGGTGTGTGAATGCCATCTAGCACCCAGGTACCATAAAACCATACAACAGAAAGGGTTAGGATGTATGAGAAAATTTTATGAGAATAAACCTCATGCGGAGAGTCGAAGTTAACTGTTTTCATTATCGGTGTTGGTTTTATACAAAAAATATTATAAATGATAATGTTAGATAACTGATAATCTTAAAAGTAGACCAGGATACTGTGGAGGTATAGGGGCAAGCAAGTTAGCAATTAGGAATGCGTTTGTAACCTTTTAACCTTGGCTTTGTATGAAGCAGTAATATAGATAACCGTGTCAGATTTGTGTGGATCGTTATATATCTGGTTAGTGCGATGAGTTTCTGTGTTAATTTATCGACAAATTCAGTTTATATAATGTGGATGATGTAAAAAACCGTTCGCTAGGGACTAACCTCGTGTGGGTAGTCATGTCGGCTAACGTATCGTCGTCTGCTTTCGAACAAAACTGTGCGCGGGACATAATGTATGTCGAACTATAACAGCTAGCAAATTCAAGCAAAATCGAAGATGAAATAGTGAAACATTCTACATAGATAAGAACGCCTTTGTGTGGTGTGACCTTTATACCTAATGTAAGCGTTTTTAACGGTATACGTAATGTAAGCTTTTTTAACGGCTAATACAGATATTTTCCGGTTCGGGGGGCGAACACCGTGAACGTAATTCAGGGAAAACGGACGGTACAGGCGAGTCGCCCTTTACGTACGAAGAACAGGTCGCGCCTCGATTAACTGAATGAAACTCTGTGTATCTAACTTTTGATACTCGATCGGTATTAGATGGCTGAAATAAAGTTATCATCTGTTTATATGTGGTGAAGAATTCACAGTTGCCAAACATCAAAACTCCGACGATTTTTTTCGTAGCAGTAAGGGTGGACACTGAAACCTAAATAGAAGTCTTAAACTAGAATGTAAAATGTTCAGTTAATAATTTTTGGGCTCGTGTACGAGTCGTATTTCCGAATTTCCGGTAAACAATCTTCACCTTTAAGGACACCAAAAATCGAACCAGTAACTAGAAAACCGGCTTGGTGATCTAACTAGCAAAGCTCAGGCAACTTTAAACCTTTAGACAGTAATTTACCCATAGAGTTTTCCTGAGTGACGAAAATCATGAACTTGAAAACTTGAATTTCCATAGATAATTAGTTTTTTTTCGATATATGTAGAAAAAGGGATACGCATTTAAATGCGTAGAAGTAGCCCCATGTGATACATTATCATCTAGGTATACGCATATTATCTAGAAAGATCAGGTGTTAAAATCCATAACTCGTTTGTTTGGGGAACAGCGGTATGGTTTGGTCGCCACAAGAATACAACTAGGAAGTTAAAGTTACGTAAAATTATACAATTTAATACTTTACTTTGTCCTTGTTCGCCTAAAAAACTCAAACACAGTGAGTTCCTCTATTTCGAGTTTATTATGGGGTATGGGGCTAAGATGCTACAACGCTAAGGCCAACGTCCACATTATCTGTGGTTTGACTGTACCTGCTAGAGTGAACGATGTGAAACTCAACATCTTAGTAATATTAGACAGGGTGTTCAAAAAGAGGGACTAACCAAGGTTTGAGGCTGTCTAAAACCACTTTTTACAGATATCTTAGTTTGTATATATGGAGATTGGCCTAAAATATATATACAGAGCTTGAATGCTTGTAACTTCAGTTCTTATTTACACAAAGTTAATCCTTAAATTGCAAAATATTCTACAGAATGTGTAACTTCAATTTCTACCACAGATATTAGAAATTATTGCCGTTTTGGTCTGTGCACAGATGATATCCACGGGATTCAAACTTGAGACTAAATCTGTTTGATTCTAGAAGAATTTCCTAGAAGAATTCTAAAATAGAATAATTTTAGAAGTCGTCAATTTTCCGGCATAAACTTCGTTACGAGAAAAAGCGGGTTGCCGTCAGGTCTGGGCAAGGACCATGATATTCTGTAAGCATTCATTTGAAAAATTCTTATCAGATATACCTTTACAGTATGACAATATTGTGCAGGTGCTCCATTTTGATAGAAACAAAATTTGCCATCATTACTAGTCCTCCCGAATGCGTGATAAAACAGGTTATTGCAGTAAAATCAAGTAATTTGCGTTAGTCACCATGCTGTCAAAAGAGTTGTCCAGTTAAGGGAAAGTGTGCATCCTTTTACGGACAGCTTGTTTCTACAAAGTCGTATTAAAACGAACTGTGAATCACTTTTTGCTTTCTAGATAGCTGTTTTGAAATTCTTTTTCATTCTTTTATTCTTAATGCACATTTTACAATGCAAAAATTACTTTGGAGCACAAACTAATAATATTTTACATACGAAAGAGTGATTTTTAAGCACCCCGTATGCGCCACCCTGAGCCTTGATTCAGTATGGTACTTCATGTGTGTTCATTCATACTGTGTTGTCATGATAAGATGAAGATAAAAAAAATAGTACAAAATTAAAGGTTGAATAATAAAAGACATCATATCTGTTTATTGGTTTCAACAGTGAGCTACAATGCTTCACTGTTGGGTTACTTTATTTATACGTCCATATTTTCACTTAATTCCCGATACTCCTAGCTTATAGAGCCGTGTCCTCACTCTAATACTATACGCAATAATAGTTGTTACTTTGAATGATGTAAACATATATACGATGGTAATTATATGAATGCGTGCATTGTCGATGGCCAGCATTATGCAGAGTACTAAAACATGCTTCATTACTGCCCGCTCTGTCATTCGCAATGATATTGTTTGCACAGAAGCTCTCTATCTACTCGATTAAATTCGTTATTTTTGAGCCACTATTTAGGCTTAGCTGATGTTAATTCCTAAGCGCAAGGAACTGTTCGTATACAGCAAGGATGTGCGGGTCAACATCCGATGAAAAAAGCAGACTTTGCAGCGTTGAGATGTAGTTCGCTACATGCTCATGATGCTGAAATAAATACCGATAGCAGTAAAATTAAAAAGACTATCACTTAGCACGAACAAAACTTATACCAAATGTAACGTCTTTTCGTTTTACTCAGTTATAACATGAACCCTTGCGTTGATGAAATTATCATAATTATCGCTATCACGACGTCTTGAACCAACAGTTGTCTACACTACGCTCTTTTACCAGGCATACAATGACGCGTATAGGCCAGGCGACACACAGTTGAAATGTGTTATCGTTTAACACGAAATGCAATTTAAAAATCAGCTTTGCGCCGAATAAACTGCTTGAACTTACCCTAAATAATACTTCAAGTAGCCTGCCCTGCGTTAGCCTGAACCATGGCGTCCTCACGTCCGCACCTTCAGCCTCATTCGTCGAAATATGTTCCGTTAACAACATTATAAATCTATGAAATTCAACCCAACACAAAGCTCGAATACGTTATGCGAAATTGCGAACCGACAAGCCGTAAATGATTCTTGAGTAAATGCAGATATTGGACGATAGCCAAGCAGCTGGCACAATGAGTGAATACAATAATTAATTAGATAAGAGTTCAATTGGACTCCAGTACGATCCACGGCGTTAAAGTAGATGGCATTGCTAAGTACATATGTGTGATAACAACAAACCTCTGCAGTATGATAAGAAAAAGTTTTTTCAGCTCTCCCTGGGCGGTCTCAAGTCGTTCTTCCGCACGCTCGAGGTCCTCAGGGGGAGGGGGTTCATCTTCTTCGGGATCGTCACGGCGCGCGCGGGCTTGATCTAGTTCTGTCTGTAGGCGTTTAACCTGTTTGATTTTGATACGAATTGTAGAGTGCAGGATCTCCCACAGGTATGCCCTTGACCAAATAGAGTGGAATTCATATTACTATAAATCTGTACTAATTAATGGGTACGGGGTTATATATTGGCTTGGTACATATTAGCAATGGTAGCAATGTCTTGGTAGATGTTTATAAAGAACGATTGATAAAGGAGCAAATACTGCACTAAGTTGTACGTACTTCGTGAAGTCGGCTTTTAGTTCTTCGGAGAAAACCCAGTTAGCGACGGCGGATGCATCAATCACTTGGGTCTTGAGCAGTTTGTCGATGATACCCTGCATCATCTGGGGGTGATTTTTCCATATTTCGTAGAGTGATAAAAGAATCTGGACTTGCCTATCAGGGGCGTCCTGGCCCGCTAGCTTTTTCATAACAAAATGGAACTTAGCGATGGCCGCAAACGAATGTGACATTGTTTTACACGCGATTGCCAATAGAGTGTGTACAAATACGTCGATTTTCAGCAGTTCTGGCTTCAGGCCTCCCAAATTCGGCGTTGTGTCCATCATTGCAACTACAACCAACATAAAATCAAAAATGCTCTTGACAGAATTAATCAAAATGCAGACCAGTCATCACTTACTGCTCAAAGCACATCACTGATAAAAGCACAGAATCTACATCAAAATACTCTTTTTAATTACCTAAGGATGATACTATATGATGGATTTCTATATTTTTTTTTGAAAGATTAAAACATAGCAGTTCTAATACCTCGTGAAGGGCATGAGTAGATAATTTTCCAAACCTACCATCTTCATCTGGTCCTCCGCCAGGCTGCAGCTGCTGTTGGGTTTTGGCATTGTCGATTTCATTAAGAATCTCTAAAGCTTCATCTTCTGTACATCGTGATTGAATGGCTTCAGCCAATTTTTTAGATATAGCTAGACCGGGAGTATCCTCGGCCGCTTGTTCTCCATACTTGATAACTGGTAGAGGCGCCGCAGGCACAAACGGCTGAAGCTCAGCTGGAATGATCTCAACAAGTCTCTGGTGATACGACAGGCGAAGGCATTTCGCCAAGGCGCCCTGCACAAACATCGGTTTCGGGTGTAACTGGGGCAATGCAGCTGCATCTAGCCACTCCTCCCAGGTCCATCGAAACTGGAAATTTGAAAGATGGTAGGCAAACCAGCTGCAGAACCTGCATACAAACACACATAAAGAAAACAGAACAAGTAGCCAAATTACGTTAAAGCTCACATATTTTTTCGAAATTTCACCAAGGACGTGAACATAAATGAGCACATTTAATAACATCATGTATATATATATATATATATATATATGTGTGTGTGCTATTACTACGTATTCTAAGAGATGCGTGTAACATGCATGATGGTTATATTTGGTCATTTGGGTACCTGTCCACACAGCTGACATTCATTGTCTCTAATCGTTCATAAAGTAGTTCGACTGTCTGAGCGAGCACTAGTGGCATCGTGCTCGGTTGAAGCTTGCAGAGCTCGAGCAGTAGACTTCCATAGCAGATTTCGATTTGAGGTGAGTTGGGCAGCTGGAAAAGCTCTGCGAAGATAACTTCAGTTATCATGTACTCGAACGGAACCTGATTAAAATGATCGGAATCAAAAATAAACCTTATATATGTTAAAATATGCCGCGGCTCACATGATTCACAAGCTGAGCATAAAACTCGCAGTGATAAACTCTTTTGGGATAATTCTCTTATAATTATTTTGGCGATATATCCTTTAGTTGAAACTGTATCACCAATGTTACGGCCAACCTTAGGTAATTCTTGGGTGTAATGCCTTGAAAAGACGTCGTTTTCAGAAATTCTTTAAATTTTACCTTGGACTTTCCGGGAAACGAGAGAAGAGCAGCAGCGCAACTCTTGCGCTCGAGGTGATGCACTCGAATAAGCCTGTGAAGGTGTTCTTCGATTAGGAAGCGCTCGATTGAGTGTGCACCGGGAAGTGGCGGACCCTGTACAATGAGAGCAGTTATTCAATTAACTGACCTATCAGTAAGTCCGCATAGAGTAACTGCGCCAATACCAAGATATTAAGCATATAGATGCCCATGAATACAAAACGGTCAAAAACCAGAAAGTTGATTTTTCAATATAACCATAAATATTTTTTACTCGAATTGTAGAACAAGTTTAACTAAAAACATATAAATAAAGCAGCTACGATAAAAATGATTATGACACATATTAGAAGAGGCCAATTGTAAGCATAATGAAATAATGAGTTGTAACAATGCATTATCATTTTGATACAGATTTCATGCCAGCTTAAATGGGCTAACCTCCGGACAGTCGGTATAGTCGAAAAGCCTAAACACTACCCAAGGAAAGGGATAGTGTGTTTCAGGCGAGTGCGGTGGTGGAGCCACAGTAGCGAGACTGTGTTGGAGTGCTTCCGAGAGGACTCCATCGAAAGCAAGGTACGGTCTTGCCAAATGATTTTCTGCCCATTTATCACTGCGCATCTTGCAAATGGCGGACCAAAGACAATCCAAGTACTGGAGCAGGTCGCAACAATATAAAGGAATGAACTAGCTATGAGTTATCAATGATATCAATAATTTTTTTGCGCCTAACTTACTATGACGATTATATCTTAGCTAACTATTACGAACAAAATACTAAATGTTTGAAAAATAGTTGTTATTATCAAGTCAACTTCATCAAAATATGACACTCAATATTTTTTAAGAATTAACAGTCCATCTACAAGATAATACAACAATTTAGAACAACTTATAGATACATGATGAGTGGGTGACACGAATACGAAACATAATACTTGTGGCGAACGTCCTACCAATATTCATTTTATTGTCATATAATTACAGCTAAATATAGTGTGATCAAATAGTTCGGATATTTTCGAATCCATCTTAGAATAGAACATCTGTACTGAATACTTGATATTATCTAAATGTAATCAGTTTATAGTGTTCACTAAGTCTGCTGAATATATTGATAGTTTAGCTGCAAGGGAATGAGAACTGACCTCTTCTTGCATGTGAGGGCTGTCCGAACTCCAAACCATAAGCGCAGGAACGTGAGTTTTACTCCTTCGCGAGATGTAGGCATCAATAAGGCGCAATAACCGATCGAGTTCCTGTTCTCTTCTTTCATGGAGTTCCCGTCCCACAAGCGGTAAACATGAAAGCACGCACAATACGTACCAGTCCGAACGAACCTAGGCAATCCAAAATGGTCAAATATAAGTTATCAAAAATTATAAAACAAATTAGAAAAAAATCTTAAGCTTTAGCGAAAACATATTTGTGTAACGGCGGAATTACTATAAATATTATATGTCAATATGCACTTAGAGAAATAGATACTTCATCGCTGCCAATATGTTTTTTAAAGAAGGATTAATAACAAGGATTTTCTTGACGATATATTTTTCAATTTTACGTGACAATATTTGTGTAACAATTTAAAACAACAAAGCATGGCGGATAACCTAACCTAACCAGTCGTACACAATTGTAAACTAGAACATTATCTACACTTCGCAGATATCTTTTTTTGTTCATTAGGGCATCCATCGTTTACTTCAGCATCAGTAATGCCTTGTCATATGAACTAAACATTTTTGCAAGGTTCAGAACTTCTCAGACGCATCCGATGTAAACCACATAATATATTTCTCTAATGTATTGTGTATACCCTATGGATGCATAGATTAGGTCACTAACCTGTGGGGTATTCTCTTCAGCTGTGACCGAGATAAAGTTCTCCAATAGGGTGACAAGGGATGCAATATCGACGACCTTACAGTTAACGAGGTCAGCTAAGAAGCGGACACAATTACGGGCTGTGTCCCATTCAGCAGCCCTAAGCGCCTCTTTAAGGGCTCGCACTAATGTTTCAACGAGCTCACCACCAAAGGAATAGCTTTTGGCGTTCAATAATCCAACTAGTGTTGAGTAGATTGACGTCTTTTCAGGCATCTTCTGTGCACTGGAAATAGCACAGTCAAGAAAATTACGTTGTTCTGTATTATGTAATCCTGTAAGTATCATCTATAATTACCTGTGTCACAATTAAGCCTCGTTTACATTATTTTCTATTTCGCTAGTGGATAAGACTACACACCATTGAAGTTCATAGTCGGTGTAACTGTGCACACTTGTGCGAAATCCACGATGATGAACTCAATATGAATGCATCAACATATATATAATATGGCTAAGATGGAAGAAAATGCCGCATAACGAGAATTGAAAGAGACTATCATTCAATATATATTTTGATTACAAATTCAAGCCAAAAGATCAGTTAGCTATTGCAGTTCTCCTTAGTACCTAACGATTGACAACATATGTTGATTGGTGAAATTTACTAGATATTACAGCAAAAATACATCTTATCATCTTCTTAACGTATTTCTTTTTATTGTGGATGATTATCGGATGGTAATGAAAAAAGTTTGCTATCTTGTCTAAGCTTGTTGGACTCACTTTGTAATCTATGTAATGTAATAATAAGAGAGAACACTAATTTTACAGAAGAAATGCCGAAGTAGATACAATTCCATACTTGATTATTGTAGTACGCTCAGGCTTGTTGTATATAAAAAGATTAACTAAATATGGAGAGCAGAATAAGAAAACTGAATTATGATGTTTATATAGCTCTGGCCTATTGGCATTAGATCTCAAGTGTACGCTCAGAGTTAGTCGCGCTCTGGATAGTAAAGATGACAATATTCAATCAAGTCCACTCTCTGAGAAAAAGATGGCGAAGTGTCGTTTTTTTAAATGTTCGACTCATGATGTGGACTATTACACAGAATTATATGACTGCGATAGTACAAAAAATATTTTGGGCTGAGAAACTGCGCTTTTTTTTCCAAAATTAACGGCTGTTCACGCAATGTCAAGTTTGCAAAAAATTGCAGTGTATTTACCAAACCTATCTCATTGCAACCCACTTTTCCATATATATATATATATATATAGAAAGTTGTATAGCTTCGTTTGCATGTAATAACTTTTTTATTTTATTTTTTTTAATAGTCACATAACTTATGACAAATTTCAATACTTTCAGTTGATTGAATTAAAATGAATAAAAAAATAAAACTTTAGGAAAGTCATAGTAAACCAGATAGATATCAGGTCACCTAAAGTATTAAGCACCTTACTATATGATTATAAACTATAGCTATATAGGTATAATGGTCATGTTTATATATTTTCAGGTACAAACAGTTAATTTAGTTGTAAAGTTCATCGTGAATCTATGCAAGTATAACGAAGGAACCGTTTGATAGGTCTGAAGGTCTCAGTGTGAATAATACTATACAGTCTATACTTGCTTAAAGTCCTTAAACGAATTTTTGACAGAAATTCCGTCACCAGTTATGGAGATAAATTTCCTATAATTTATATCCCATAAAGTATAATGTTGAAATTTTAAATATAGTAAGCCTAGAAGACTTTCGAATGAGCTTACCAATCGACGAGAATTTTCAAAACATTGGCCTTGAAACTGGATAAATCCGAGAATAAAACTCCCGATAATTGTTCCAAGTTGGACTCTAGCGAAGAAGTACTCTGAAAACATTGATATTGAATGAACATGTATTATATACAACCATCGAGAAATCCTGAATATTGAAAGTTTTGCATTTTGTTATCGTTTTTCGAAAAGAATAAGCGAAGTGTGCTGTTTTAAATCGCTTGACGATAGTCAGATCAAGATTTTCAGGCGATTAGCACAGACTACTGATTAGTCTTGGGACATCTGATTATATTCTGCCAGATTGCATAATCCTGCACAGCGAACCGGTCGTAACTATAGAGAATTCAAGAGGAAGTACCTATTACGGTTTACCTTTTAATTTAACTAATATAGGAGGAGAAAGGGAGTACAGAATAATTTCGTAATGTAGTAACGAAGTGCTTATTTCAGCAACAAACCAAATGAAAGTAAACAGCCACAAACCAGTGTACCTAGTTTATTAACAGAGAGAATGTGGTTAAAATTATGAAATCTGGTATTTGTCGATGACGGATATAGTTACTCAAATACTTTGTAATAATAAATGCTATAGTGTTGCAATTCAAGGCTATACCCGCCTAGACAAATGGCGACTCCTACTATCTTATTACGTCAACCCCAGACAATATAACAGATAGTATCACCAACATTTCTTTTGTTGGAAACTAAAAGCTGTATTAGATCAAATGCCGCAGATGATACTTAAATCGTGGGGCGAAACACAGTTGAAACTTATAGAGATTACCAGTAAAGATCACTACTATAATTACAACTACAAAAACGTTCATGCTATCAGGTCGTGTCGAACGATACAATAAATAATGAAGAACGAAATGAAGCACATGCAAATTGTGATCAACCTTTTCGCCAACTCGCAAAATTAATGACTCGAGTTTGTTTTCAATTTCACGAGGTTCTGACACAACGCGCCTTCGCTTTCTGTAGCGAAGATCTGAAATACACAGGATAGAGCATTGAATTTACAAATGTTACTATACAATTTTACATAAAACGCTCATAGATATTATTATCGTCATATTTATGTAAAGTCACATAGACGTAACTGTAACCTATGTACACAGATAATCGTGAAAATGTTGAAGGTCGATTAGTTTCCAAATTTTATAATACCAAGCTGTTTCTGTCGTAACTCGGTATGTAAGTTTGCAAAAATGCAGCTTAATATCAACTGCTAGCTAAGACCTAAATAGAATCTAAAACATGGTGTTCCTTAAAGCACACAGAAATCGAAACTAAAATTCAAATGGAGTTAATAAAAACTACGTTTCCTGTAATTTCAAAATCAGCGGGTTTTATTTACCTCAGTTACTTGGACAACTGCAACTTCGAATTGTTTTGCGTAATCAATTATAGGGTCATCGGTGAGTTCCACTAATCATATACGAAGTATCCTTTTTCACTAATAATATGCAAATATCAATACGTCCTATTAGTTCACTCTACCTAACCATTAAATATTTTTGACAAACCTGAAGTTGTACCTTTAATAGTAGAAATTGACGCTATAATTTACAGTGAGCTACAGTGGCTGAAAGCATAAATCTTAAAAAGATAATTAACATCGCTTTACCGGAAACTTGACAACCGGCTGGCCGGTCAAAAACTTCTACCTAAAGGAACTCATTAATATACTAGCTGGGAAGTGCTTACCATCGTCATCATCATCTTCATATGACCTCCGACGGCTCATATTCGAGTTTCGTTTGGTTTAAAGATGACACAAATTACACACTGGTCATTCCTGTTTAACGCACAACAACAGCTATAATACGACACGGCGATAAATTTGCGACCGCGGCACCTATAACAACAATAGAATCAGCAGCACGAACAAGCCGCCGGCGTTCGATGCGTGTTTTTGTTTTTGTTAGTATCGTAAACAGACAGACCGTAGCAAAAACAAAGAGGAGGAACTTCGCCTTTTATAGAAGCATAGCTCTAAATCGATCTTTATATAATTTTAAATCTAGGCTCATGTTTGTTCTAGATTTAACGATTTCGTCTCTTGGTATCTTGACTCGAAAAGACTATCGTAAAAATAGTAGCACACACGGTGGTGTACTAAGGAGTATTTCTGTTAAATGACTCTGCTTTGTATCATTGCGTTGCTCCGCATTATAGGCTAGAATCTACCGTAAGTTTTACTGTACTTCTCTCTGAGATTGTTTTGTACTACCTTTCATATCTGTATTCGAAGCGTTCATAAAAACGCACCCATTCAATGAAAGGACGGATTGCTCCATTTATATTAGAGAAGATTACTTGTGGCAGGCATTGGCTTCACCCTAGCAGATGCCCTATATTTACTGTAATCCTGCATTTGCGTAGTATTTATATATATGTTTATACTATAATATCTAGATGTTTATCGAACATAAATTTCAGATATATTTGTAAGTCAAACGTGTGTATCAACGAAATTAGTGACGATTTTATAGCTAATAGAAAGTTGTTCATTATCCATATAGGTGATAAACAATTATATCACGGTAAAGGTTTCGAGAAACCTTCTGGCTGAATCGAAGTCATCGCTTTTGGAACACGAGGGACCAGCGTAGCCACTAGCGAAAATGCAGACACACTAAAAATCATTGTTCCAAAGTGATAGACTGTTTCCTTTTTATATCTGGAAGCATTTTGGAGGTTATATGAATAATTGCTTACTTTATAATTAATACTAAGTTCGCATCGATAGAACGATGGTTGGAGATTTTGCCAGAGAGTTGGAGAAAAGATGTCAAGAAGAGCCTGACCAGGCTCCAATTGTGCCTGCAGTGAGAATGTTACTTAACTTTGTTAAGGACACCAACTATGGCAGTGTGCAAGAACTCCAGGTAATGATACTGAGTATGCGTTTCATATGCAATATTCGGTTAAAATTCAAGGTGATCATCTAAAAAGGTGATAGAGCTAAGTATTAGTAGATACATATTGTTTTCGAAAACATGAATGACGAAGGAAGCTAACACGTTTGTAGAAAAAGGTCCTGCTTTTCGTTTAATAATATTTTCAATTGCTGGTTAAAAATAATTATAGTAATAGCATTAGTCGAACTATAAAAAATGCTCATTTATTTTGCAGTTTTAAAATCAAATCGATTACATTTTTTCACTGCAGACGCAGAAAAGCTAAAATTCTACTTGTTAGTTAGTTATCCAATTTATGCATTGTTTGATGCCATCCTTATAGCTGCAATCCAAACTCATTATGCTGTTAAAGTGTAAAGTTGGCTTCACGGCTACGCTTTATCCGAGTACAAAATAATAAAGAACGAAATATTAAGAAAGGTGAAAAAAGTACCAAACAAAATGAGATGCAAAGACCTAAGGCAGATCCTGGAAAGAATATGGTTTTATTTAGCTTCGCAAAAACATAAGACTATCGAAATACGTAGGAGGTAAAGTAGTGCGTACTGTTTTGTGTTGTAGTGGTCTATGGCTTGATGATATGTAATAAATATTGCAATTTAATAGTTATTTATAATAATAGTAATAAATATTAATTTGTTAATTAATATTTATTACTATTATTTATATTTATTAAAAAATAATAATAGAACTTCGGTTGTGAGGGGCGAAGGGTACTAACATAACATTTTTTGGTACCAAAACGGCGACCTTGCTTCAGTTGACAGTCGATATCACAAAAATTTTCAAATAAGCTACCGTTAATCGAAATACAGGCTCCATATCGGCAAAAAGGCAATAAATGTTTTAGACGATATTGTGCATATTCAACCCATTAAAACTAACTCATATGAAAAGATCTTTCCTAACATTTGTTTAACAGTGTTAACTTATTCTGACAGCCAGTTGCCTTAATAGTTTAAATCGCATTCAATAGAGTAGATCGCGAAGGCGGTCTCGGAAATGTTCGGTATATTCAAATATGTGCATTGAGGTGCGTCATGGTTAAAAATAGTTATATCGAGCATTTATTGCGATATCGGCAAGAAGCCTAGTAAGAAAACTGACTATTTTCCAAATTTTGCCGAGATAGAAATTTTGGTAATCGAAAACATTCAGGTTACCACCCTCTGTAGCCGAAGCTTGTTTAAATATTTCGTTAGCCTCATTTGGCATTCGAACGGTACCGTATGGAAGAGTAAATTCTCAGGCTTTAAGCCAATACCTGTAGATCTCCGGCCATCAAAAAGCTTTTTGACCATTTAATTTTAAAGCAAAAATAAATAAAAAAAATAAAGAACTTAATAGAATCGAAATCCTTCATTTATCCGCCTATTATGATTGGTTAATTAACTGACTGGATATTGATGTAAAAAGTAAGATCTTGTCTAAACGTATATGGACACACTTTTTCAATCAAGGCGGCATATCTTACGATTTTGTACTTACTGAAGACTTACTGCGAAGTCAGTTTTTCATAAATTTTTGTCTTTATCGGTACAGTGAACATCGGTGCCTTATAAAATTATTCACAAAATACTTCGGTTACGTAGTTCTATCACAAAAAAGTTTATCCTGAGTTTTAAAACACAAATGACAAAATTCTTCTTTCTTATTACCATCTCTGAATTTTTTCTTTCTCTAATCTAGTTTACTTTTCGAAAGTAAGTAATGAATTCGAAACCGCGCAACATCTGCGGTACCGGAAAAAGTAGCGCTATGTCGGTGGTCATTGCTCTATAAAATAAACGTTTAATTGCAAAATTCTATTTTATGATTATCGTCTGTCAGTGAGATTAATTTGAGTAGAAAAAGCGCAGTCTTAAAGGATCACCAAAACTTTCTACTGTCAAAGGGTAACAGTTTCATAGATAATTGAAGTTCATAGATAATACTAAAACTCTGTGGTAGGTCTAATAACACTGTTTATTTATTAGTATAATAAATACTTTTGATCAAGTACTGTACTAAATCTTGGTATCATTTCTTGCAGACAAGTTTAGATGACCTATCCAAAGCGTTAGTAAGATCAAGTTGTGCAACTATCGGAGTTGAAAGTGCCTGCCAGTTATTCAAAAGGTGTGTTCATAATTGTGATAAGATTTTTTGGTTTTGTATATAATAAATAAAGTACTTTTTATCCTTAATAAAAATCTTTTATTCAGAAAACTTGACCCACATACAAGTCAAGTCTGAAAAAAATTCCGTATGGTTATGACGTTTACATCATCGTGTACTACGAAATTATCTGCCGCAGCCGCTTTACATATGAATGGACCCAGTAGATTTCCCGTCCAGACTCGACTGCGCAGGCAGGTGACTAGATCTATCGCCTTTCCGTTACTTGCAAAGGGATATTTTCAAGTGACGTTAAAAACGGTTTGGCTAATTGAAATATAGCATTACAACTAAGCTCATCAAGAATTATCATCCAACATCATAAAAGGATAGACCTACATAGACTCCCAGCTGGATTTCTAGCGTTAACTTTGACAGAAAAAAATAAACATTGAAAATCTGTGCAAAGTGGTATTAAACATGAAAAGATAAGATGGAAAAACCACAAAAATAGCCCATTTAAAAAACGCACGCTATTGTCGGACAACGATATTAGAATTAAGGAAGGATCCTGTTTTCCTTATGTTACATATTTGTTTTACAGCTAGCGAACAGCTAATCGTTAATTGTAATTCCGTGTCTCTGAACACCGCCAACTTAGCCCGCGCGACCACAATCGGTCGCGCATCTGTTTCGCATTTTTACGTAGGCAAGTATGTATTGATATTATATTAATAAACTGAATATAGAGAGTTATATTGGAGCCTAACGCCTACACAGTACCTTTCCGTAAAGGTACTATTATTATAACCTACGAATCAGAAAGAATGCATTTTGTCCCTCAGGTTCATTACACTTACGCAGCTCGATGTAGACCTCCAACAACTTAAACCAGCTCTCGTGGCTCGTGGGGAAGCATTCTTGCAGAAGGTAAAGATATTCTTAGCACCTTGAATATGGCGCTTTGTGTGATACCGCCAAATTTTTAGCTAAAGAAATGTAATCATGCTTTTCAGTAAACAAGAGGGCATCGAATTCTTATCGTAAATCTATTAACGCAGAAAGCACTCCAGCGCGATTAACAATAAACAGCTCATCACAAAACAGTGTATTTTCTCTATCTCAAAATGTTGCATTGTAATATTTATGTGACACACATATTATGAAATGCGCTTCAAGCGACATACATCCTTCAGTAGTTCTGAGCTAATCTTAAAACCCTCTTGGCCATTAGTGTAGCCTAAAACTTGATGATGACTTAAGTTACTTTTTCTTTTTTTAGATTTCCAAGGATCGTCAGAAAGTTGCATGCCTAGCAGCTCCGTTCATCCTAAACGGACACAGACTGATGGTACATTCGCGTTCCCGAGTTGTTAGGGATGCTCTTCTGGAAGCCGCGAAGGTAGTTTACCGCTAAATAGGGAAAACGACTAGTAGGTACACTTACAAAAATAAAGGTTTTATTCAGCGAAATAGTTTTCGAACTTCCCTTTTCGCACCAAAAGACAAACATCGGAATTAGCAATCACGATCCTAGAAGGTATATATTTAAGACAGGATTTCGTTGTAGATACGCGCAAATTTCATGGTGTATATCACATCATCTGGCGGTGTAGACAACGCTGGCGCCCAGCTTGCTAAAGAACTTAAAGCAGCTGAAGCAGGTGCTGGTACAGTGGAGGTGATGCTCATAGCGGACTCGGCCGTTGGATATTACATGGAAAGAACGGATCTAGTACTCCTCGGAGCAGAAGGAATTGTGGAGTCTGGAGGAATTATTAATCGAATCGGAACATTCCCGGTATTTATTATCTAGATACTCAAGTTCCGATTACTTCAGTGTTTATTAAGTGAAAGCCCCGACCTCAAAGAACAATAATTATGACTCACAATATACGAAATGCAAGGTGTCTATCAACCCTTGATGGTCTGTGCAATCATAATTGACACTACTATCGTTTACTATCAGCCGAATTATTATTTGAATGGTATTGTTGTACATGAATGCATATCATTGTTTACAGCTCTCCAAAATTAATGTAGCGCAACGTACTGCACGTCACCGACATTACGTAACAAATACATTATATATAAAAAACAGACTGTGAGGTTAAAGACAGTTATATATCTATAATAGCGAATTAGAAAATTTAGATAATTCATGACTTGACTATATTAGATCTTCATACATTAGCACTACTAAACGTCAATTAATGGTATCTAGTTTCCAATTGGTACTGGATTTTATGTAGACATCTAGTGCTTGTGTCTTATCGTCTTAATGTCTTAATGCTAAGATACTTGCCTATTTTCAGATTGCTTTGATGGCTCGAAAGTTAAACGTTCCTGTGTTTGTCCTTGCGGAAAGTGTTAAATGTATACGGTTCTTTCCACTGGCTCAAAAGGACCTTGAGACACTGCCCAACGCCCTTAAGGTTAAGAAGTTTTTCTCTTCTCGAAGCATTTTCTCGAAGCACGCTATGATGTGTTCTATAAAGCCTACCAAACGAATCTACAAAACAAGTTGCGATTGACTTAGGAGGGATTGTTTTCTACGATCTTTTTATTTTTATCTGTGCGATAATTGGTAGCTCAATTATTATATCGTTTACTTCACTAATGATATTACATAACAGTGTGTACATGATGAACATAACCCAGTATTCGTAGTAAGCTTATTCTAAGACAGGCCTGAATACAAGATCTTTGTTCATATGTTGTATCTGTATTTTAGAAGGGCCAACCATGCGTGGACTACACTTCGCCTGACCTCATTCGACTGCTGATTACTGATTTGGGGACTTTGACACCATCAGCTGTCAGTGACGAACTCATCAAACTTTACCTTTAAAAAACTGCAGTGCGTTATGCTACGCTATAAATGGCTAAAGAAGCAAATTTACCTCAATATTCTAAGCTACAAAGAGGTGATGTCATTATGTTCAGTGATTTCTTCTAGCAAACGTACAGTTGTGTAAATAAACGTAAAACAGTGTGCGCACAGATAAACCTTGGCCAGTTCCTTAAGTACCAAAATAGTAGGTGACACGAAGCTCTTACCAATACATTGTACTATTGTAGCCTGTGAGCTTATTTCTTATAGGTATTTTGTTAGGACAAGATAATAAAAAAATTATCACGATCGGTTTATCTCCACGTCGACAATTTTCTAAAATGCTTTAGTGCAGATTTTGTCTATTTTTCTATGTTTAATCTATGTATTTTGTTCTATGTAGCTATCTTTCTCTACGGAAAAAGAATGCGAACAAATAATTACAATATTCCCTATATAAATTCTAATATCAAATGATCTTTGTAGTTTTATATTAGTTATGCCTTTAATTAGACAAAAAAAGTCGCAACACGGAGTGCACTCTTGAGACAGATAACTTCTGTTGTTAAGCAAAGCCGCAACTATTTAAAAATGCGTTTGTCTGTCTTATTATTATGCTCTTGTCCAAGTAAAGAAACCAACAAACATGAACCTTACAAGATTGCGTACCTCATAATTTTTTTACTTGTAATAACACTGCTTACCACAGAAATTCCGCTCCTTTAAATAGGTAAAATAAAATAATCTCTTACAAAAAGGACTTTTTAAATATGTGCGGCACGTCATACGTCGAATGAAAACAACATTAACGTTCATTAAAATACTAATACGGTATTTACAATTTATTTCCTTATAGATCCACCTTCAGAAACGTTTATGACAATGTAAATGCGCTAGTGAGCGGTAGTTTTAAGATAATTTTCGTACACTTTTTCATTCATTAAGCTCTCAAGCTCCTCAGGTTTGCTGAGCCTCAGCTTAAAGATCCACCCTGAAAGGACGTGCGCATTGCACCGGCCATTTAATAAATGTGCATATTGACTGCTACATGAGGGAACAGTACCTTTGGTATCTACACCGTATACCATTGTTGTTTCATGTTACTGTGGCCAGTGAAGCAGGCACAGTTTTCATAATAATTTTAGGATATTTTCGAGAACATGTTTTATTATTTTGTATTTTGTAGTAGGACGAGTTCTTCGAAGTATCTAAAGGATTACGTCAGACCAAACGTCTCAAGGTGTCAAATAGCTTTTAGAAAGGGTACTGGTATTATATGGTTTCAAAACCAAAAAAGCATTTTCTAAGCCAAGTTTCGCTTATTCCTTGAGTAACTAACATGCGTGAATATTAAAAGGGGCAGCAGAGCTTTGTTAATTCCATGCATTATTACAATGCTTTGCAAGATGCGAAATACATTAATAGATATGCGGGTAATTCACATGGAGGCAACGGTAAAAACACTCCGCCCGTGGTATTTTGACATTTTGTTTGTTTGGCCCTGACCTACTTTTCTAGTCACGAATCGATACCTAAATATCATGAAAGATAGAATGAAACATACACATCTACATACCATCTTTGTAACAGGAAGAGTTAATCAATGCGGGTTTATCCTCGAGTGCTTTGTTGATCTCTTCTACGACGCCCGATACGGGTGAGTAAATTTCTGATGCTGCCTTCACGGACTCGACAGCACCACATTCGGAACCCTGACACAGCTCTTGGCCGATCTGATTTTCAAGTAATTCGATTCAAATTAACTTATATTTACCAACTACTATGACTACAAAGTGATCCATTGCGGCAAAAACTGGATAATTAATGTTGTCCCTTAGCTTTTGAAAAGCAGAAAAGAAATAATCGAGAACATCCTGCAGTTTACCTAATACATACTAGCCAGCCTGTTCCCAAAGGGGCACGAGATGTTATGGAATAAAACCCAGAAGTATTTTGCAAAAACAAAGGGGTCAATGCATAGTATTGGTAAGCAATCAAAAGCCAGCGGTAAGCAATCAAAAGCCAGCTAGGAACTTCCCTTTCAGAAAATTTTGTTACGAATACGAATGAGAAACACGCTAATACATCTCTTTCAAGTATTAGCCGAAAGCGACGTTGGTTAATTTGCATCGTCTTTAATACAAAGGTAGTTTACATGTTTTACTATCTAGAAGTTCTTTAATGGCCACCTAATAAAGTTGATGTTAGGAAAATGAATTATCACACAATATTCGAGCCTTGAATGTGGAGACATCTTGCAAACAAACGTATTTAAAACCTTCAACCGAAAAACAAGTAACGCTGAGATGTATTAAGGAGATTTCTGTTAACACTACAAAAAAAAAACGCTAAACCTAGCCCTATATATAGAAAATAGAATACTTCGTATCTGCGTACTTCGGGCGGTTGCACGTAGACGACATCTCCAAGAGCTTCCTGGGCGTGATCTGAGATACCAACCGTACCCAAGCCGTCATTCACTTCTACCCATTCGTGTTTCTCAGTAAACAATCGCTCGAAACAACAGGAGCTCGTCGCGATGCCATGGTAACCCCAGAGTTTCCTCGTCATTGGACCGGCAATCCTGTTGACAATGGCAGCAAAAGTGCCTCTAAATTAGATAATCCATGGTACTAATAATGACGGGATATACTAGAAACCAAGAGCATTCTACATAACTTTCATAACTAACTAACCTTAGTTTATACAGTTAGTTGGTTACAAGTCGTAATGTAGTTCTTTAGAATATTGAAAAACCAAGATTATTTTGAAATGATTTAGAGGTAATACCACTCTTTAAGATAATGCTAGCTCTCTCACTTTTCAATTAACAAAAACAACTGATCAATGCTACAAACCAAACATTTGTGAGGAAAAGACCTCGCAACGTAGCCTTCGTAAATGTTAAACAATATTTAAAATATCTAGCGTCGTGCTTCCAAAGTCGAAGCGTCTTAAATTGGGTATTTGACATTTTGTGCACGGTTTTACTTGTTGATTTTATTTAAATTATTATTAACCAAAACTTCTAAGGACGTCTACCCTGAGATTAACCCATAGCAGGAAGCATTGACTTTTTGCTAAGTAAGTTGCACCAAGAAGTACAACTTTCAATACAACTTCTCCCACTATAATCATAGATGATGTTGAGCTTAAATAGCGAGGACTTGCCTTAAGTAACACAAGGTGATCTGCAGCAGTATCCTTGCAAGGGTGCCTTCAGTTTTTTATCTCATAGAAGTGTTAGTCAAAAAAAATGTAATAAATAGAACTAATGGCTAAAGTTAATGTGGCAGTCCACTAAATTCGCTAATGAAGGGCAAAGAAAGCTTCTCGACACGACATATCCGTTCACAATACAATAACACGGGCTTTTGACGAAGCTGAGGAAAATCCTGCAATAGGATAATAAATGGGAATGGGAGTACCGTACTAGATCTAAAACGAACTTTTTAACATAACGGTCTGGTCAAAACCACACATGATATGATATATGTTCTTACTACCTGGATTCGACACTTCTCCGTTTGTCCGTTTGGTGACAATACTCTTTAACCGCTGTTTAAAAAAGATGTACAAAGCACTCTTCTTTTCTTCTCAAAGTATCATCAAAATGGCGTAGAGCATTACTACTTATAGGAACAGCAATTCAGGCTTAAATGTATGGCCATAGACCGTTAGTTGAACCTTCTATATGTGTATTATTGTACTGAGCTTCTATCGTAGCTAGTTTGGTTCCTGCACAACGCTGCTTTAATAGACTTTGTTTGTCATATCCATATATTTTTCAGCTAATTAAACGATTTGCCATGCAGAACTCCTGCTCCTTGGAACATGTTCATCAATGCAACTGAAAATGTATTTACAAAACAAAATTGGCACTCAGTCATTGGACAGAATAAATGAGCAAAATATTTGTGAGCAAAAAAATATAGCACTAGAAAAAGCAACTCACTTTATTTGAATTACAAACTTAAAACACCGAGGGTATAATTGTCGAGGCAATGTAATTCTTAGGTCTTATAGGAAGTAGATTAGGAAAAAGTAATCGTGCTGCGTCGAAACGTTTTTGTTAGTAATTCGCCTTATATGATAGGAATGAATAGCAAAGTAAAATGGCTAAATATTGATGCACAATATCTTCGACTGATTTCAAGTAGAACGAGTGTTCAAGTAAAACAGATAAATTTATGTTCGCTCGGATTTTTACGTTTTTGTGTGTAAACTCACCGGGGCGCAAACAATATCTTGCACAGGGACATGGTCACCAACAAGAGTCACACTAAGGTCGACAAGCAAAAAATGCCTTACTCCGCTGCTCGACTCAATGCGCGGTATGTCTCGATATTCTAAATACACGGTTGCTAGTGCAGAGCACGCAGAAACGAAGTCTGCGGCGGACAGTCCAACCTAGATTATCACGATGATGATTAGATAAACTTTTAAATAGATACACAGATAACTACTAGATGAATAGATTGGTTTCACAATCAAATAACTACCTACTTGAAAAAGAGATAAGATACTAAAGATTGCGGGCCCGGTACAGTTCTTCGACTATCAACCGGCGGCATATCAAAACAAGATAAAGTGCTTCAATTTATCACGTCCTGCACAATTTTATATCATCTTCATCTGTGCTTTTCCATGTGTCCATGCTGACTTAGGACTGTATGGATTATTAACAGGTGTGTTATGGCAATACGTCTGAAAGGAGAGTTAGCTAAATATGGTATAAAATTCAGTGATGCGCTCTTGGGTGATGCCCACTGTTCGACCGCTATTTCATTGTGCAGTCGATAGCTGAGCGCGCTCCGAGCAAAAAATATACGAGAGGAGATCCGCTCTGATAGAAGCTTCAATCTACAGTTTTTTCAGGGTGGACGACGCTGTTTCTGTTGCTTTTTATCGGATATGACCTGACACAGGTCTCTATTGCAACTGATCCGAGTTCAAATCACATCTGAACTCGTGAAGTTGTACCAGAATTATTGGACAGTATCAAGATTGCACGCAAAAACAATAATTTTGTGAATGTGTCCACAAACCAAAATCGAAGCTTCCATTTCGAACGTAAACTGTACATCTAAAAAGTGCACAGTGTGATTTCGACGAACAAGGCCGTACGTTGCAGTTGCGTCGGAGGGATGTCGCTCGGAGGGTAAGTTGTGACAGAACAACTACCTGCTCAACTGACCCACTGAGACCAATTGCAGCTAATTGAATTGAACGAGGGGGACACGTCGGAGCCAGCTGTGTAGCATCCTTCTGAGAAGGAAAACTCTACCTTTGTGGCTCGTGGGTAAAAGATTCTCATTTTATAAACATGGTTTTGTTTTTAATATGAATGCACATCCATTAAATATGTTTGATGAATAAACAGCGTAGAAATGTCCACATTCGCGGATTTTTCTGTTAGAATAAGATACTGATGCAACATACGATTCGATGTAGTTCATTAGCCAGCTAATGAAACTGCCTCCTTACATCGGTTAAGATTGTTGAGCGCTATTTTAAAAAGGGTAAACGGAATACGTGTACTAACTATATTAATCACCGAAATGGGTATGTAATCAATTCAAATGTATGTCGTAGCTTTACTATTGCATAAATCACAGCGCTTCCTCCTATACGCGAAAGGTTGGGGTCAAAAGACAAATGTATTTTAGTCATTTGGAAGATACATTGCTAATTTGCTAGCCATCATCGCCACGAAGTGTCAGTATTTTATTTAAGGAGCAGCTGGAATTTTAGTCGCTACTTATTTAGGTTGAACCAACACGGGTTACTCCGAGAGTCGATCTCGTGAGCACACTGCTGCAGCTTAACCTCTGCGAGGTAACTTTTTCCTTCATGTCAGTTATGTTCTGCTAGAACCTTGTAGAAAATATGCTGGCAGTACAACGAGTATCTACAAAAGTGATTTCCATACAACAATACCTGGAATCTAACGCTAGTATGTTCTCAGCCTATATTGTTACAGTATGAGGATTTGTTATACTGCCAACCATCATGCTAATGTGTGATGTTATATATATATATATATATATATATTGCTAACAGTGCTATTCATGCTTTGTTCTACAGAGTTAAGATGGTTATTGAGTCACATGTGGAACTAATCTGATTATCGCAATTATTTGTTTGCAGCCTCTTCCAGATTTTGGGTCGCCAAATGAATCGAGCGTTCCACGTTAAACCTTACGAAGGCATGGTAGCTACCAGGACAGGCGCCTACAGGCCCGCGCCAGACCTCATGAGTTTTCCACTTACTAAGGTGAAATCTCTTGTGCTGAAGCGTACCTTATTTTCAAAGACCTTTGTTAGATAACACATTTAAATTAAAAAAGTTAAATTAAAAAATACTCCTAAAATTGGGTGCTGAAGTTCCGCTTCGGGTATCTGGCTACTTCGCACCGCACGGCTACTATGAAAAGCAATGGGGAAATATGCAGAGTATAAGTGCTTTAATAGAAAATCGCTACACCTTTATAAAGACCCACATTAGCTTAGTCCGAGAAAACGACACAAAATCAAAGTTGGTAATTCGTTCAACTACTTTCTGTTGATTGCAGGTGTTTTTGGTGGTGATCCCAGGCGTGACAATTGGCGCGTCGATCTCAAAGTACGGGGCCGCTTTCCTCGAAGAGCACGACATATTCGTACCCTCCGACGATGATGACGACTAAATAGAAAAAAAAACATGTAACAATTTTCTACCTTATGTTTATTTGATCATTTAAGCGGATCATTTGTTAGAATCAATGCACGTTGCAGTGAGTTATCTAGAATGAATGTTTGTATTTTGTAGTGGCAAAGACATTTAATGGTTTGCCAATCGAAACGTAAGCAGTATAAAATCTGTTGTTTCTATGTTAGGGACAATTCTGGCGAAAAACGAAATATTAATCACAACAATTATGCTGATTTCAATTCGCTTTAGCCTTTGCTCGATGATAAATGACGTGATGATCGTAGAAGAGGAACCAATGAAAGCGAAATTTGGCTTTCTCGAAGATTTTAAGATGTATCTTACAGAATGTTTGTCAAAAATCTAGTGGCTTTTTAAAAACGTCATTCAACACGTTTTCAAGAAAATCAATATTACGTATGGGACAAAGTGATCAAGCAGATACAATGAGCTGTCTTACGGACGATGCTGGTTTCGTTCAAAGCGAACCTTGACTTACCAATAAATGTATAGTTCATCTAGACTATATACACATGTTCACGGAGTGTCAACTTTAAACCTTTTAAATCTAGCCAAGCATGTGCAGCGAGCAAGCATTGCAGCTGCACTAATAGTAAAGTATTGTGAAAATGGAGAATTAGAAAAGGCTTCTTACGAAACAAAAATGATTTAAGACTGTAAATTCTGTTGAGGCTATCGTTACTTGAACGAATTTACTCAAAAAATATTTCAAAGTAAAAACGATGCTAACATCATCGAAAACGAATCCATAGCTAAGTAAATTATCAATTTTTTTGTAAATTATCTGTGATGTGAGAGTGATCTAGTCAGCATCATAGTGCTACAGGTCATGCGAGTCGTAAAATAATTGCGTGTAACGAATGAGACGTAGTTAATGGCGGCACTGTAGATTTTCCTCAACGTAACTCTCAAAAACTAGCTTCTCTTAAGTCATTTATGAACTAAACGTATAAACGTGTTTGAAGCCGGCATACTGTCATTTAGCCAAACAAATGAGTGTCGATAAAATTATGATAATATATTAAATATGTAAACTTTTTATTAAGGCTGCAATAGGTGAAGCAATGTTGTATCACTAATCCTACTTCAGATATTGAATATCGGAGAAATAGTAAGGTGTTCGACATGCCTCTAAAGGGTGTTTTGCGTAAATGTTCATCCATCGTTCATAGAAACTAGCACTTTATAGTTAGGCAGTGTTCGATATCTCGATATATCCAATGCGAAAATATTGGAATTTTTTCCTACGGGAAGATTTCTTATTAGGAAAGTTGATGATATATCGGAGATTCCCAACACACAGTGACTTTAGAGAACCTTTAGGTTTTTTTTTATTTAGGTTAGATCCAGCAATCGAGTTGGGTAATCGAAGCATACAATAACGACCATAAATAAAGTCGCAAGTATCTCCTATTTAGGACGCTGCATCTTCGAGAATCTGTGTCCTAGAAAATTCATCTAATTGTTGTAATTATCTGTAGATGCCTCATTATTTTAGCTGTCTCCGGAATATACGTGAATAAAACAGAAATTGTCAAAAGTGAGCCAATAAATGTTGAGTGTGAGAAGTATGTTATCTCAATTTAGGTGTACCTGGGACAACACGCATTCGGTAAAATTGACATCCACAGATAGGCTTGCAACGAGCCTTGTGACAGCGACTTACCTTCACTAAAGATAGACTCCCTAAAAGCGCACAGTATAAAAGCTACATTACATGTCATCATAGGTATTCTTCCTATGTACATAACTACATATAAAGGAGATGATGAATCACAGAAATAATGGCAATGGACAGCAGAACACTTTGTTCTGACGCTGCCTCATGTTGCTGAAATGTAATCTTCGTTATCACATGAAACAGATCCCCTGATGTAAAAGTAGAAATAACATGTTAGTTATTATAACTTCAGTGCATATATATGTGTATGAATATTCAAATTTCAGGAGCATCTTGAATAGCACTACTAACGTTTCTCCCTTCCAAGATACAAAACCCGATATGGTAATGTAAAAAGAGAATGACAAAGAAGAAAGGCTAGTTACATAACCAACCTACACGAAAAAAACTCTACGACTCTTAATTAGAGTCGTAGCGTTTTTTTCGTTATTTAGACATATAAAATAATTCAACAAACACGTATTTGCGGAAATATTTAGAAATATCAGGGCATTGGACGTGCGAGCAAGGATAAGTAACTATTTTATTCGAAATTGCAAGATGCGGTGTTTAATACGGAAGCTAGACGCATTTCATGATTGGAAGGCCATTTTAACAACAAGTACAAGATAATATGACTTAGTATATGCCATTAAATGACAAGCAGATTATTGAATTTTTTCCTATTTATTAGTCAAATTAATTTGGTATGATTGGGGTTACAAGAATCTGAGCGCAGTTTACGAATGAAAGGCTCTATTTTGGACAGCTGTGCAACTTTTTAGCCCAAAAAGGCGTTCGCCATCACGGGTGTTACAGATGGCTACAGAAAGCGCGTGCTCCTCTGATTCTTGTTTTTTCATTTGACGCTTTTAGTTGTTGATCCTTACGTGAACAAGTTCTCAGAATCATCTATTTCTTGTATAGCATTGACGACTTGCCCCTATCAGAAGTGTAACTGAGGCAGACCTTGCTATACTTAGGCGGGGCTTCTGCAGCAAATATATGAAATACCATTGCAACCATACAAGTAAACTATCGATACAATTACCAAATAGTAATATTCTATTCTCCTTAATCCCTCACCTTTGCCTTGTTTCTTTTTGTTCTAATTATTGACATCTAAACTAGTTTGGTAGCATCTTTGTTAGTTATGGTTACCACAGCAATGCATTGAAAAATGTACGCATTATCCTTCCATATGATGATGCCTTTTTTCTGATACATGATCGTTAGTCAGTTCAAAAGAAATAGTAAAAGAGTATTCAACATTTATCATTGACAACATATGAATTAACACAAAATTCTCGACCGAAAGTTAGCTAAGACAGAGCACACTTATTGGATAGATGTCAACTGTCAGACTTGCGTTAATTACAAAGAAGTGTTATTGATACGGCCGCCGTGAGTCCAGAATTGTTTCGCCGTTTCTAAAATTATATCAGCAGGATATTATTTTTTGTTGTTTGGAAACGTCGGTTAAGTATTTAGGCTAAAGTATAAAATATAGGCTGTGTTCAGTGTACTGTAAGCTTTTCATTGATGTTAATAGTGATGATATTAACTCATTCCTCGCTTAGTCATGGTGTCTGCACGCCTACATGACTGTTCTACCCGAGAGACAGGGTAAGTCGGACGAAACGAGAAGAAGTGAGACAGCGGACGGACTATTATGTTTGTACCACCGGAATCGCTGGCAGGACGAGAAACGTACAACGCAGTAAAATGAAAATGCGAAACGTTTTTTCCAGCATTATTTATTTACGATAGAACCTGTCATACGTGTAAATAAACAGAAAATGGGAAACATGTTTTTGTAGTCGTATCGTTTTGTCTTTGACGCTGTGTATATTGGGAAACACGTGCATCATAACACAATAATTAGAAACGTGTAATTGCTATATTAGTAGAAAGAAATTAGTAACCCCACAGCTGCAACACTAATAACAATAATAATAACTGTGCGAAGATCGAAGAAATTAGGGGAAACACGTGCGAAGGGATACCGGCGGCGATGTCTATCCGTGTTATGGTGCCGTTCTATTATTAAAACTGCATATGCTTAACAGGCGAGCGCGAAATCAATGATGTCGGAACCGCTGTTCACCTACCTAGACCATATATATTAAAACCATATTGAATCGACGTTACTTAAAAAAGCCTAGAAACATTCATATAAATGCTAAAAATACGATTACTTGTTGTCACATACCGGAATCTTCGATTCTGAAACTGCATCAGAATAACCCCATTTCTCATAGAGTCACTTAATATTTGGCTCCATTGGTGACAAATGATAGGAACGCAAGTTGGAACACTCGTTATAGCGTGTCTTTCGCTATGCAACAAAAATACAATCGTTACTTAGCCGTTACTTAATTGATCATATCTGTTGCAGATGCTGGATGTTCGAAAAAAGAATAAGCAGAACTTTTGCAACGACATCGGCTTTATATATCTGACATCTCGTTTGTTGTCCTTGGTTTATCATTTCAGATCTTCAATCAAGAAGCGGCAAGAGTGTTATGTGACTCTGCGGTGCCTAATTGCCGAAAACCGGTCTCTACATCTCGTGAAAGAGTACGGTAAGCGTTCAAGAAGTCTGGCAAAAGCTTAACTATGAAAAGCCTGATTATCTCACAGAATTTCGTAGAAGAAAACAAGACAGTAGAAAACAACTAACTTACTCAAGTAGAACTTCGCAATATAGAGACCTACCTTTACGTTTGATCATGTGAAAGCAAAGTTTTGTTGTTTTGGTGTCGGAGGCTTACTGTGATACACCTCTAAAATGTCCTTTTCTAATATTTATGATTACAGAAAAGCAGAAAGTGGGCGTGCGATCACCACAAGACCAAAAGTTCGGCTACATCTTTGTAGAGAACAATCTTATGCTCAAGCAAGTTCGCAACCTTCTTTGGGAGCAACTATTAAGTGAATTGCCAAAGGGACAGGACGTGCCCAGTGGACCCCATTGCTTCGACTTTCTCGACTCGAACGGGTATCCAATTGTTGCCAAGCAGGAGGTGCTTTTTACTGTTCTAGATATCGTGAACGACTACACCATCACGATACACACTGTAACCAGAGGCTCAGACGACCAGGTAAAAAAACGCATAGCATACAGCAGCATGTTCAAATATCATCAGATGCCCGTATGTAGATGTGTGCGTCTATGCTCGCGTCTATTTGTGTTAGGGACGTTGTTGGCAAAAAATGTGACAACGTTTCGCGGAAAGGAAACAAAGATATATATATATACGTCTGCAAATGCTCCTGTTCGTGGGACACATTCCATACTATCGTCAATTTAAGCCCCTAACTTATGGTTCTTTTATTGCTCTGCAGGTGGATTACCGCGCTCGAGCAGAACAGCCCACGGAACTAAAAGAGATCCCACACCTCACGGTACCCAGACGGCCCAACGCTCTCGATCTGCCGCGATCGATGAATAGAAATAAGAATGGGCTTATTCACCAGCAGCCCGAGTGAGTTCAATAATATTTTCCGTTTTCGCGTATGATTCATCGCTTCCTTAACTCGATTGTGTTCACCATGGCAACATTACACAATAACAAATAGGGAGGGTAATCCTTTATTATGAATCGAGCATAAGCAGTTAGATTCTGAATGAACGCGGATAATAGGTTAGGCTAGTTTACTGTGACTTAATAGTAGTTGTCCTATTGCCCGCGATAAATGAAGGTGAGCCTTGTGCGTTATTTGTAGTCGGAGTCGCCTAGAAGCTGGGACAACATCTGACTAAATACGTTCATTACCCGAGTCATAGTTGTAACCTTTTTGCTTAGCGCCGTAGCAATCGACACAATCACGAAAGATCGTCACTTTTGATCCATCAGCTTGTCAAGCTTTTTGGGTGACCAGATTTTTGAAGCGATTGATTTCATTACGTGTTGTCGTAGAATTTTGTTTATCGCCAGCGAAAGAGCTTCGTGGTATGGGTGAAACATCTATCGAGGCAAATTTTAGTTACTAAGTTTACCTGCAAACATCGAATTGAACAAGGTCGTTCCTTATATGCATCTAAAGATAGTTTAATTAGTGGCATATGGATGTTTTGCATTTGTAGACAGTTCGCTTGTAGCCGTGACGTACAATGAAATGGTGCACAAACCGATTGGTTATGAGAAAAGAGAGTAATGGACTGAATTTAGGGCAGTTGTGCCGTAGCTAATTTTCTATAGGTGACAATGCAAACCATTTAGTCAGACTGAAGGGATATAGGTTAGTTTTTTTTTCATATTTAATATGGCTTTTGTAACGCTGGATAACATAAGAAGAAATTAGTATCGTTAGTTGTAGCTGCTGTAAATCAAGAACGAACAGCATAATGAAACAAATTTACATATGCAAGTAGCTCGGAATGGCAAAAAAAGGTGGTCCTAAATGATCTTGAACCAAGGCATTATTAACGCCATGAGTATTTTAGATTTGCCATATTGTGGACCACTCAAACATTGTTACAGCTAAGTCGAAACACGCACGCGGTAGGACACGTAGCATAATTTAGAAAGGTAGGTTAATGGCAAATATCAGTGCTACTTCAAATGAACATACTTTTAATAAAAACGAGGATGTGTTCAAGTAGGAGTATGATGGTATATGGTAAATCTCTAGAATATTCCTCTGAGAAACCCGCGCCTGCCATGGAGTAGTATATACTAATTAACAGACTACATTAACATGTTAAAGCTTTTAGCGACGATCGGCAGAATTTATTCATTAGAACCCACTCATCAAGTAGCATTCTGTATTTACACGATTGGAAGCCAAGCATTGGCTTTTATATCCTATATATGAGCAACCCTATAAAAATGAACAACTTTTTAACGATTGCCTCCTACCGACGCCTTTCTTTCCGCTATTCGCCAATATAAAAGGCAACTCCTCTTTGGTAAGAAGTATTTACTAGTTAGAGGGCACACTTTTGGGTATTACGGGAATAAGCGCAATCTGGTACAAGCAAAAAAGCACAGAAGAACGTAATCATACACCGAGATGTAGAATATGATTGCGTAACGGTCTAGGGCCGAAGCTTCTTAGACTATCACGTAGACCTCCTAAAAGAACAGAACTGCATCGCTGTGTGAGGAATATTCTGGTGGCTTAGCATCTAACTCAAACCTTCAGTTTTCGGTTTCTGCAATGCAGAGTGAGCAACTTAAGTTTGAAATTGCTCTGATGATCTACGTAAACCCGTGGCCACGGCGAGTCCTGCGACTGTTCAATATGTCGAGATAGTTCCAATGATCTTCTTTTGATGGATATAAAGTCGTACTTATTGATTAACGCTAGAAGACAATCCTAATATACAGCCTAATATACAGCAAAAGCAAGAACGAATCTCATCAGGAATGAAGTGTATCTTCGTGATCCAATACAAAGTTAGGCATTAAGTTCTATACTGATTAGCAGTAGTGAACCCATAGTTAGTTCAAAATCGTTCACGAAGCAATGAGCTAAGTATACTAAACATTTGATCACCAGCTACCATTTGACCAGTAAGCAACACGTCGACTGCTGCCAAGAAAGAAACCCTCGAAATAGGAGCCACTGTTTGTTTTCGAAAAATAATTCTAATGCTCTATACCGAGGATTTTCGCCAATTATACCTAAAAAGATTTACCCTTGAAACTAAAGACATTGTTTTATTTCCAGTATAGTTAATTAACCTAAGGATACTTTGGGTGATGACGCCTATTGATACTTTGGGTTGCAATATTTGTGGCTTCGATCGTCCTTAAGTATTTCTGCTGAAATGAATTTTCACTTTTAGGAGAGTTCTATTCTGAGGTCTATGTTTATGATACATGTACACCAAGTGAAAGCCATCTTTAGATTGTGCAATGGATATCATGTCTTTCCAGTAGTTTGCGCTAAGTTAAAAAATCGCTGCAAAACATTTGAATTACATTGGACTTTTGAACCTCAACTAGATTCCTAGGTGAGTATTGTGTAATACTAAATAAAATTTCAGACGGCACAGATTTTTCAGAAAAATTGTTTATTTACTTTTAATATACACAGATTGATAACTAACACACTATACAATATCTGTGAACAGAACTGTGTTATGTTTTTGTGTATATTTTTCTCACGTTCAGCTGCAATTTTTTTCTTGACTAAAAATCCTTGATTGCAACTTAGAATTGCCACGGAATCTAATGCCTTGCTAAATGATTCGTTCCTAACTTAATTACATAGTTAACTTATGTTTAGCATCTTTCTTTTCGTCGACTTCTTGCGTCACGTGCATGCTTCTCCAAGTCACTTATTTTTTTTTTACTAGAAATAAATTACATGTTTGTTCGGTTAATGAACTAAACGGAAGTCATTTTGCTAACTCTAACAGCAATAACAATATTGTCGACCTGGTTGTTTGTGTCATCATTGGTAAACATAGTTTTGTCTACTTTGCTGAGTTTCCTTTTTGTGACCACTTCTCTGAGATCTCCGCGACTACACAACCGTCTATTAACATAAGCGAAAAAAGGGATGGACGAGTGACAACGAATCGCCCTTAGCCTCTTCGTTTTCTTGGAAGAGGAGCTTTTTTTAACGTAAACGGCTTCATTTCCTACATAAGCAGAACCGTATGTTACGAAAACCCTGCCCCAATGGTGAACCCCACAAGCGAATCTTGAAGAACCCCTATGGCCTTGACGTGTTAACATGCTAACTACACGATCATTCTACTTTATCTGTTATCAAAGTCCGTCCTTCCAACGGCCTCATTTACAAGGAGGCCGAGGAGGTTGCCATGGTTGTCAGATCAGCCTGCGCCGCTTGCCTCGCAATTATTGACAGCGTCGACAACTTGTCACTAGCGTCGGTAAGCGGGCTACGAATCGCTATAAATGTGTCGTAAAACGATTGAATAAGTTTAAAGCGCGCATCCACTTTATACGAATAGGGCCGGTGGGTCGATACGAGCCATCATGCGACGTGATTCCGTCCTCGTCAGCCGGAATCATGAAGGGCACCGGTGATTCCACGCTGCCCTCGGCGATATCCGGTTCGGCTGGGCGCGAGCGTCGTCGCTTCTTGACCGGTAGTGGTCGGTGCCGTAACAGACGGACTGGTCGCCGACTTCATATGAAATCACGATCAATAGTAAAAACGCTTTTAGCACATACATACGACGATAAGATAATGATATTTCGATAGCATACCTTGTATAAAACTAATGGTAATAATGTATAGATGTATATTATTATATGTTTAGTATTAGTAATGCATACCCAATCGCGATCATCTGTGTGTGAAGGCGATCCCAGATCTCAATGACAACATTGGCCAGTACTTCGGGATCCACGGAGGGGTCTTTTAGGACGTTCCATTTGTCTTCATGGACGCAGTGCGGACTCTGAAAACACAACCATATTTCATGAAAGCTTCGGCTCTCGTAGTTTATTTGATGTATTAGATTAAAACTATATTGAGAGCTATGTTGTCTGACCATATCGATTTTATTTAAAAATCTTTTTTTTTTTCTAGTTGTTGCTCGTTGTCGACTCTCGTTTCAACAATGACCCACGTATCCACCTGCAGTATTTTTGCGTCTAAATTGTGGTCTCCTCCTGCGGCCCCCCCGGTCGATATGATGGGAATCACGAAGTGATCATTCCATAGGAACTGTTCGGCCTCGTGAGCGGCTCGCGCGTCCCCTATAAAGGAAAATCAGAAAAGGCAAAATCGTTGAAATCTCATCCGAGGGTTTGTTTTCATCATCTGGCTATTGGCAATTGAGAATCAGAGATTGCAAAATTGTTAGCGCTATCAGTTGGCCGACCTGTTGCAAATGCATTGAATGCGCTCAAATGTGGTTGCCTTAGTTCACTTAACCTCGACGGACCTCCAATGAGGATGCATATGCTGAACGTTCGGCCGACGATTAACTCGCGCTCCTTAATAGAATCTCCGATGTAGACCGTCTTGCCCAACTCGGCATCACGGAACGTGCCGTCGCTGCTTTGAGGCGCATCGTCCTGGAATCTAGAGCTATCCTTTTTCGGCAGTAGATGGTATACGGAGTCTGTCTTGCTCCCTTTGCGTGCTTCAACGAATGATCGGGCCACGAGTTGTGGGACCCCGTTGAACCCCCCGGTGAGTAACGTGATCGAACTCACCTGCGCTAGCTTCTTGCCAACTTCACTGCAGACAAAAAGACACGCCCAAGGAAAGAATGTGCGACGACAAGGGGCACGAGAAAATACGGAAAAATGCGCGTTGAAATGTTGTTTGATCGGAAAACATACTGCTGTAGCGTATTTTAGAGTTATCTCTATCTTCGTCATGCTATAACTCTAGCGGCATGATTGTCAAGCGGTTGTCAAGCATTTGTAACCAATGAGTGCCACTGTAACTCGGAAAGTAATGATTATCGAAATTATAAAATATAGTAATATAGTAGATGCGTCGCCCATTAAGCAATTTTGGTCGCTCTATTCAAGTAAAACTTCTTGAAGGTAACTATGTCGTACTAGCACCCTGACATTTACGAGCTACACACGTCATCTCGCCCGTCATGTAGGCTAGTACTAGGCTAATACTAAGAGGTCCGGGATACTTACTCGCATATTGATGCTGTCCTGTCATCGATGTCCTTGGTCGAGCCTGAAATGTATACGCAGCCATCATGCGAGGGCATCTTTTTGAGTTCGAACTCCCATCGTTCGCAAATGTTTTTCTCTTCGGTTTCGTTGTCACTAGATGGGTCAGGTTTTTTGAGCTCGTTCTTAACCCGTTCCTCCAGGACTGATTTGAAGTCGGATCGCTTTATCTGTAGAACAATTTCAAGGTGAGTAGACAAAGGAAAAGGTCTGGCGGTAACTGCCACCACTAGGAGCATTGTGGTTACCTTTATTTTCAATATTTGAAGACTGCCACGTTTATATTTTTTCTTTCCGTTTCCCTTATTTCCTGTGTGTCTGTCTGTGTATTTGTCAAGCGAAAATGACTGACTCTATCCACGCAAATATATAATTTGGCAATCCGCCACGTTCGGCATCTAGACTATACTCTTTATAACTATAACTTACGTCGATACACTCCGCACCCATGAGAGAATCCCACCGACACGGCATGTCTTTGCAGTTCTCGGTTTTAATGACGATTGTGTGTTTGCGTTTTTGGCAATAGTAGACCTGTTGCATTGACACTGAACTATTGAGAAAATCTCTAGAAATGATAAAAACTATGATGGTGGTTTGAGAGGCCTTTTTTAGAAAATGGCTAATCTGAGCGATGCGGTGCCCCGCCAAATCGCAGCTAATCGACCCCACCCGATTTGTGGGTGGATGATATTCAGAAGAGGCATTGTTGTCGCCGGTCTGGCCCGGTGTTTCAGGGATCTCGACGAGGTTCCGTTGCGACGGACTGAACGCTGGATTTGATAAGCCTGAGCTTACATCTCCTGTGGGGCTGGTCACCACTCCGGTCTTACTGAGATCGTTGTCCATATCGGTCGTTGACCACACCGAATGATTTCGTGATTTTAAAATCTTCATCACATAATCCGCCGTTTGTTTATCGCGCGGATGCGCCGAAATGACGACGTCGATTTTTTCCGTCGATGTCTTGTTCCATTTTTTGCTCGAGATCGATTTCTCATTTAGCACTGCTTCCTGATATTCTTTGTCCTCGATAACGGTCGGAAAAGAGGCGAACTCCTCGACTGGCGTCTGCAGCATCCACGATGTCCGGTTTGAGGTAGGCTAGAAAGAGAATATAACTGGCATAGTAACAGCGATAAGAAATACCAGTAGTAGTAGTAGAAATACTCATTCAATGTTTGTTAACCTACTCTTAATGGCGCCTGCACTTTTAACTAACTACCATCCGTTCCGAGATTCTCGCATGGAATCTGCGCGTTGATTTTTATGCAACTTTCTATTTACCTTCATACTGCTAATCCGTTTAACAGATTTGCGCATATTGTTTTTGCGTTCCTTGTCGCACTCCGCTTTGAAAATCTTATAGATGTTATCGGCCACTCGTTTGACGTGTCGCGGGTCCCACTTTTTTGTGCCTGTGTGGAGAGGCGAGCATGGGATATCGTCGTGCTTGGGCAGGTCCTCGGAGTAGCCTTCATCATCATGGTAATCTGTGTGACCCTGATAGGCATGAATGTACTGGATAGTTGCCAGCTGGATAGCTAAGCAATCTGGGGGCCAATTGTCCACGAATGAGACAGGAAGAATTTTCTTTTCCAGTTTATCTGCCATCTTTACCTGTTGATAGAGGAGCTCATCAAATTATCACCGTATTTAACTAAAATCGGATTCCACTAGGTACCACCACTTTGCCAAAATGTTGAGTTAGACTCAAGTTAGAAAGTTAAGAACAAAAATAATGTTATCGTACTAAAAAAGGATATGTGAATGAAAAGTATATTGTATGAAATTCGACTCATCTATTTTACCTCACGGTTAGTCCATTTCGTAATCCCGTAGAGTGGCGATACGAGCGGCACAAAGAATTTACAGTTCTTAATGGCATTGTTGAGCGAGTCCGCCCAATCATCTGCTCCGTTAATTTCGTGAACATCAAGAAACACTTTGAGGTTCTTTTTCGTGAGCTCTTCCTTCAGCTGCAATGCGTGCTCCTCGGTGTCCTTACGAGCATAGCTAATAAGGATTTCCCATTTTCCCCTAGAAAGGACCAAGCCATCGAGGAAAAACGTAGAAGAACTGCTTCGACGAACGTAGCTTACTTGTCATGACTACGTTATCGTCAATTCCGCAACTCCAAGGCTTGTGAGATTTGCATAAGATAAGTAAGAGCTAAATAGCCCGAATGTTAAACTAGATACTGGATTTGCGGGTAAAGAAGCTGATGTCAGCCACCTAGAAGGGTTGAGCGACAATTGAAGGTCAGCTGCATTCGTTGCGCGTGAACTTTCAATACCTTATGTATAATCTAAGTACTAAATCTCGTTATACTCGTAGTGAGACTGACGCTGGAAGAAATATTCCGGTGTATCAATCATACGCGTTTCCTTTTATTACTTTGAAATTTATGACATCCTAGTAACAAATAGAGTAATGGGGACGACAAGAAATGCCATCACATTTAGCAATTTGCCGAGTTCTTCCTAAATGATTTCATCGGAGCGTCATTCACAACAAAGACATCCAAATATGGCGTCTGATCTACTGATCGAAAACTTCTGTCACTCTTGCAAGCTAGTCTGCGCTATTCATTCTAGGATATTCTGTCCAATGTGATGACTTTAGAAGCTCAAAGGAGAAATTCTCAGTAACGGGTCTGGAACATATTTTTATGATTTTGCATTTAAACACCAATGTAGTGGTTATTACAGGAAATACAACTCTATAAGAGGCATAATCGTTAAAGAACCGACGTAGAAACGCTAGGATCTTTTAAATTGTGAGAAACGGTACACAGTATCATAGCAAACGCCCCCATGTAAACTAGAGTTACATATATTTGTTACGATAAAACGGCTGTTGTAGCAATAACGAGTAGGGAAAACGTATGGTGCTAATTAAACTACCTTTAGATGCATATAAGGAACGACCTTGTTCAATCAATTTTTGTAGAACATATAGATGTAGAAGTAGATGTATTACCCATAAAAACGCAGCTCTTTCACTGGCGATAAACAAAACTCTACGACAACACGTAATGAAATCAATCGCTTCAAAAATCCGGTCACCCAAAAAGCTTGACAAGCTGATGGATCAAAAGTGACGATCTTTCGTGATTGTGTCGATTGCTACGGCGCTAAGCAAAAAGGTTACAACTATGACTCGGGTAATGAACGTATTTAGTCAGATGTTGTCCCAGCTTCTAGGCGACTCCGACTACAAATAACGCACAAGGCTCACCTTCATTTATCGCGGGCAATAGGACAACTACTATTAAGTCACAGTAAACTAGCCTAACCTATTATCCGCGTTCATTCAGAATCTAACTGCTTATGCTCGATTCATAATAAAGGATTACCCTCCCTATTTGTTATTGTGTAATGTTGCCATGGTGAACACAATCGAGTTAAGGAAGCGATGAATCATACGCGAAAACGGAAAATATTATTGAACTCACTCGGGCTGCTGGTGAATAAGCCCATTCTTATTTCTATTCATCGATCGCGGCAGATCGAGAGCGTTGGGCCGTCTGGGTACCGTGAGGTGTGGGATCTCTTTTAGTTCCGTGGGCTGTTCTGCTCGAGCGCGGTAATCCACCTGCAGAGCAATAAAAGAACCATGAGTTAGGGGCTTAAATTGACGATAGTATGGAATGTGTCCTACGAACACGAGCATTTGCAGACGTATATATGTCTTTGTTTCCTTTCCGTGAAACGTTGTCACATTCTTTGCCAACAACGTCCCTAACACAAATAGACGCGAGCATAGACGCACACATTTACATACGGGCATCTGATGATATTTGAACATGCTGCTATATGCTATGCGTTTTTTACCTGGTCGTCTGAGCCCCTGGTTACAGTGTGTATCGTGATGGTGTAGTCGTTCACGATATCTAGAACAGTAAAAAGCACCTCCTGCTTGGCAACAATTGGATACCCGTTCGAGTCGAGAAAGTCGAAACAATGGGGTCCACTGGGCACGTCCTGTCCCTTTGGCAATTCGCTTAGTAGTTGCTCCCAAAGAAGGTTGCGAACTTGCTTGAGCATAAGATTGTTCTCTACAAAGATGTAGCCGAACTTTCGGTCTTGTGGTGATCGCACGCCCACCTTCTGCTTTTCTGTAATCATAAATATTAGAAAAGGTTTAGAGGTGTATCACAGTAAGCTTCCGACAACAAAACAACAAAACTTTGCTTTCACATGATCAAACGTAAACGTAGGTCTCCATATTGCGAAGTTCTACTTGAGTAAGTTAGTTGTTTTCTACTGTCTTGTTTTCTTCTACGAAATTCTGTAGGATAATCAGGCTTTTCATAGTTAGGCTTTTGCCAGACTTCTTGAACGCTTACCGTACTGTCTCACGAGATGTAGAGATCGGTTTTCGGCGATTAGGCACCGCAGAGTCACATAACACTCTTGCCGCTTCTTGATTGGAGATCTGAAATGATAAACGAAGAAGAACAACAAACGAGATGTGAGATATATAAAGTCGTTGCAGAAGTTCCGCTGATTCTTTTTTCGAACATCCAGCATCTGCAACAGATATGATCAATTAGGTAACGGCTAAGTAATAGCATTGTATTTTTGTTGCATAGCGAAAGGCACGCTATGCTGTCGAGTGTTCCAACTTGCGTTCCTATCATTTGTCACCAATGGAGCCAATTATTAAGTGACTGTATGAGAAATGGGGTTATTCTGATGCAGTTTCAGAATCGAAGATTCCGGCATGTGACAACAAGTAATCGTATTTTTAGCATTTATATGAATGTTTCTAGGCTTTTTTTAAGTAACGTCGATTCAATATGGTTTTTCTAGGTAGGTGAACAGCGGTTCCGACGTCATTGATTTCACGCTCGCCTGTTACGCGTAATGGAACGGTACCATAACACGGATAGACATGTACTTCCTTCCCTCCGCCGCCGATATTCCTTCGCACGTGTTTCCCCTAATACCAATTTAACAGTACACAGCTATTATTTTTAATACCAAAACTGTGAGATTACTACTTCTATTCTTTCTACTAATATAGCAATTACACGTTCTTCTAATTGTTCCATTAATATGCGCCTATTTCCTAACATAAAAAAAGGTTGAAGATGCAATAATACAACTGCGAAACAGTAATTAAAAATGGTAATTTTTTTCTGGCGCACGTATGGCAGATTCTATCATGAACAATTAACGCCGGAAAGACGGTACACGTTTCGCATTTTTTATTCCCGTTCGCGCGTTTATCGACAACACGGAGTATAGCACTGCTCCATTCTCGGGCAGTAAGTATTAGTGGTAGTACTATTACAATTACTTTGCACTTGGTAGTGTCTCCATCTTAATTTCTTTGCCAGCAACAGTTGGCAGCGTCGTCGTCGACGTCACCTTCTCAGCGATACCGTGTTGAGGTCGCTGCCAATCGTCCGGCCGCCGTCTCGCTCTGTCTGGTTTATCCCGTTTCTGCTGACGTCAGCGTCAGCAGCAGCGGCAGCAGCAGCAGCACTAAACGCTCACCGTAACGACGACAAATGAGTGAGAGCCCGTTGCGTTCGTCACTTCCTCGAACTCGTTTGTCTAAAGACGCGCGGGGACGCACGCGCATAGGTGTAGCTTCAATCAAGCGTACATTGCACGTTCCCACAAACGGAAAGGTGCCACGCCAATCAAGCAGCCGACGATTGATAAATGTTGGAGGAATGAATGGACCGACAGACGCGCATATTAATTTCCCAAGCATCAACGCGGCTCACGGTTTGCGTTCACGAAGGCTCACTTTATTCCACGCTTATGGCCGCCTATTCCACTAACTTCTCCCGTTTGTATCGTGCCGGAACTCTGTAACAACGCTCTCAAGACAAATGCTGCACATCTTAGCCAGGGTTATGGACGGCCTAGAAGACGTAGGCTGTAGCCGAGATGGCGGTCATAAAGGTACGCCAACGAGACGACCACTGCCATATAGACACACGCACCACTCAGTACTACCAAGTAGGCAAACAGGCAACCTGTACACCCGTTACATGACGCACATGCGAGCATTACGGCTGCGAGAATTACCGTTTAGTGCTAACTGCGGCGCTAGTATGCAATTTAGAAATTTATATTCCTGCTTCTAAGAAAGGCGTGCTCTGTTTTGTTACCGACAATGATTGTCATCTAGTCCAATGACTGTACCGTCGACAACGGCGTTAGCGACACCAGTATAGTGACTGTCATAAAAGTAACGACTATTATTATTAGTTATTGGTCTATTGATGTTCGTTCGGTGGGTTAATTCGTATTTTTCTCATAATGCGTATCAAATCGCCCTAGTTTCCCTGGTAAGCCACATATGATCTATAATATGGTAATGCTGAACAGAAACATGCTAGAGTACAAGCTAAACTGTCGAACATATTTTTCTCGCGCAGTCTGTATCTCTCACAAACATACAGCATCGTGGCGATCCTTCGGCAAGGGACGGTGGTCCTACTATTTGTAGCCTACTATGATAGAACGTACAACCGAAACAAAGTAGAAGGGTGTATCATTCGGGACTTAGTTCGTCGGTGTGAGAGTATTAATGGATTAAACTGGAATCAATCAGACAAACCGCTTGTCCTCAGTGTCGTCTCTCGATTACCTATGCCTTGATGGCGAAGGTGACGGACGGCATTCCACTGAGTGCAAGAACCGTTAGTCCACTAAAAGCGTTGGCCAACACGATTCACGATCGTTGAGGCGTAACGACTTGGCAGCTTCCGTAAGAAGATCTATTTCGCTCACTCGGCGTGTGCATTATCCTCAAAACGTAAACTGACTGTATTCAAGCAACCCCATAAAAATGCGCAGACAGAAAGATGACAACGACCTAGCCTAGTATATAGCAATGCAGCGTACCAAAATTACTGAAACTGTATGCACAGAAAGAAGCACCGTATGTGTAAATAAAATAGTGCTTATATAACGAATATTTCTCACTAAACAAGTGTGTATTGTTAACCGTTGCATTTGTTAATGCGATTGTTATTATTAGTTTCACTGGTCTTGGTTAAAGTAGTGTTTATAATTATGACTATAGCTTAGGCGTAGATGGGAGTTTATGAAGAGCCACTGGCTTGTTTTTACACTTACGGAATTAGGCTTATGAAGCAAGATGTTTTCTTTAGGAAACGACAGCGGCTGTCATTTGTTTTGATTGAGCAAAAGAATATATCCCCGAAATTACCTCGTAAGATGCCATTGAGTCTAGTTTATAAAGAAGTCGCTGAACTTTGCCAATACCAGTCCATTTATTAACGGCTTATCCTGATCTAAATTCCTCGCCTATTAAACTACCTTAGTGTAATATGTTGCCTATAATCGGCTCTGCGATAATAGGCAACAGTTCAGCGACTCATCATTATATAGGCTACGCCAGAAGCGTAAGTATTGTGCCAGTGAGCGCGAAGTCCCCGATCGTGGTCGAAACTTTCCTTTGTCCTTGATATTCCTATTATATATATATATATATATATATGTTACAACCAGCACTACTCCAACCAATTGAAAAAGAGGGGCATTAACGTGTTTCAGAAAATCGCATATAGGGATCGTTCTAAGAGAGTGCTATACGTGTTTAGGTGAGCCGGTGCTTCGTAGATCCATTAATTCCGATCGAATCTAGAATACCTCTTGTGATGACCGAAACAACTGTCGCTCTCTCGAGCCCATCAAAGGTAATCTAGACTGGTGAAGGCACCTGTCTGAACATGTGTATGTGTGTGATACTAACCAATTACTTCAAAGTATAGAGAAGTAAATCTTTTTAAATGATTATCGTAAAATACTGCAGAGCTCTGTTAGCACTACTCGACGTGCTCTTCTACCGCCTGAATGCCCAGTGTGGAGCTTCCCCTGTTAATTGCTAGAACTGCCCGAATAAGACTGCGATCAAATTCGCTGTTTAAATGTACAAGTCAATTTATAGCTAGCTTTTATACCAAAGCCATAGTTTTCTCTAATTATTAGGTGTTACAGTATAAAGGAACTTACACGGAACCCTACACTAATGACATGTATTATATATACGCCATGCGTTGCGCTTCTATTAGTATGTCTTCATAATCAAGCTAAGCTGATTTGACTCAGTCTTCCGAGTCAAATTCTCAGTCTACTTATATGAGTCGAATGATGTACGGGGGGTTCGAAAGAACTCATTTTTGTACCTCTAAGAGTCACATATATTTAACCAGACGCGCTCGTATATTGAGTGATAACACCGCGAGCATGACTTGCGATATCATTGCGGACGACTTTTAGGTGACTTGAGTATTAATGATTGACACTATCAAAAGACAAGGGGATTGCTTTAATACAGAGGCTGTTCGCCGTCACAATGAGCCCCAAAAGAGCTAAAAAGGACGAATTTCATCAGGAAATGAACACTGTTGCATCCAGTCGTTGTCGTCTCAAGAACAACATCCTTTCTTCGCGACGTCCAGTTTAGGAGGAGAGGACATGTAATTCAAAACGATCAGCAAACGGATGCCTGCGACAGATAGCGGAGTCCTGTTGATAATAGCTTGGCCTTCGGTCGCTATACGTACGATGCACGAGCGGCCGGAAGATGTAAAACGTCCTGTTTGTTCCAGGAGCCTAGAGTCTGTGCCCACTGCACAGCATACAGCTGTGCTACTTGAATACACTAATAGCCGTACAACTCCAAAGGCCCACCAAGAAATCCAAACTTCTGGAGGCGGCCATTGAATACCAGCTATGCGCAGTGCTTGCAACTGTTGTTTGTTTACAAGGAGCCTGATACCAACACTGCTTCCTTTGACTTATGCGCTCAAAAAAACATTTGCATAGCACGCAAAATAAGGCACGTTATGCGTTACATGTATTTATCTACAACTGATCGACGATAGCTAGACGATAAAATTAAATTGGCCTAATTTGGGTACGCAGATGAACGTGTTTCATTCCGCTTACCAACTTCACCTGTTAATCTTCCAACTAACGATTTCAGAAAAAAACGTGTAGACCTCTCTTAGGCGCTATATTTTCGCTACGTTTTCAGCAGTCCTACGCTTACACGGAGCCTTAAAAATACAACAAAAATGATCGTTCATTTAATCTTATATATAAGATGAATCACCGTGGATTTACCAAATGGCACGAACAGATGACCAAGTCAATTCAGCTCGTGGCAGCGGCGGCGGCGGCGGTGGCGGCGGCGGCGGCGGCAGCAGCAGCAACAACGACGACGCATCCTCGAACCTACACGGCGTCATACACAGCCATATCTGTTGCGGCCTAATGCATAATAGACGAGATAAAATTTGCTGGTGCCAATAGAAGCGTGAAGCGTAGAGAAGATAGCGGGCAGGCTCCTGTCCGTTCGTCAGCCATCCAACCACAGTCATCAGGCGCACAGCACTTGTTGCCTGGCGGGTTACTCAACGCCGGCCGGGCGTCCTGCGTCAA